CGGACCGGTAAATAAAATGTACTAATTGAAAAGTGTGGAACAGAAAATAATAACATATATTTGCGTAATATAATGCAATGTCGTGCACTTATTAATATGGTTCTAGATAATAATAAAAAAGTCACATCAAAAAACATTTCACACGTGAAAAAACTATCAACTAATGTGCCGGCAAAAAACTCAAATGGGTGGAACATAAAATAATAACGTATTTTTGCGTAATAAATTGCAATGTCGGGCACTCATTCGACGTAAAAAGGCACACAGAAAACATTTCACATAAAAAAAAAAAACATGTAGGCCTACATGTCATATCATGTACAAACACAATTAACTCTAGTGAAAATTTTCTGCTGTTTCGTTTCCAATATAAGATGCAAACGAGGAGAAGCTTCTGCAACACGTAGCTATGCAGCGGCTTCCAGTCGATTTCAACGCTTCGTTTTAATTAAGCTAGTGATGAAACTGTTTTTTTTTTCATAAGTATTTGGTTGAAAATACGGACAACAGTTTGATTACTCGATTACTTAGCGATTGGTATTCGTTTATCAGGATTCGATATCCAAAATAGTGACAACAATTCTTTTCAAATTTGGACTATAAAGTAGAATCACAACATAGATTTGCTTTCTCTTTTGATTGTCAACGTTTCGCTTCATCTACTTTTTACTTTTTGAGAATTTTCTGGTCCAGAAGAAGACCTATTCTCCTCGTTCTTGTTGAAAAAAAAACATCAAAATGCTTCGTTTGTAATTAATAACATAGGCTATTAATACATCTGCAGTTGATCGACGCCCCAAAGAAAAAGAATTTGCATTAATTTACAAATGATTTCACAATGAAAAAGTCGTCGGTAACTTGACACTACTACACCTGCTCAAAAATCTGCAAAATTCCGGAAAAGATTTCTGCAGCTCTTTTGTTACGCGTCTCGTGACCACCCGCAGGGTCGCAGCAAGTTAGGATAGGATTTACATATACAGTAGTTGTCAGTTGATATCTTACTGTATGTCATGGCGAAGCTCTGAAATATTATAGGCTACTGTCCTTGACTGTTTTCTGGTTTAAAAAAAAATTATTATTTATAACCTTTTATTTGGATGGTCATATTCAGCAGGAAAAGAATGCAGAATAGAGAAAACACGCGTGCCGATTTCAGGTTTTTCGATTCAGCGAGATTTGACGGAGCGCTTTTGCGGTAAATCGGAAGGGAAAAGTGTGATTATTGAGGAGGGTTGATAGCATAAAAGTCATATTGGGGATGGCAAAATAGGGATGGCGAAATACGGTCGAAAGGTGGCAGATTAGGGATGACGAAATAGGGACGAAAAGCCAAATTGGGGATGGCAAAATGCGGTCGAAGCGTGGCAGATTAGGGATGGCGAAATACGGTCGAATGGTGGCAGATTAGGGATGGCAAAATGCGGTCGAAGCGTGGTGGCAGATTAGGGATGGCAAAATGCGGTCGATGGGTGTCAGTTTTTGCCAAATCGACTGTCATAATGCGCTGTTTAGTATACAGATAACAATAAACAATTGCCTCAAAATTACAAAGAAATATGGCTAAAGTGTTTAGATTTGGGGCTGATGAAATGGATTAGTACCTGTCAAATTCAGGCTGGGAAAACACAGTCGATGAGTGTCAAAATGGGGTGGCGAAATGGGGTCGAAGCGTGGCAGATTAGGGATGGCGAAATGCGGTCGAAGCGTGGCAGATTAGGGATGGCAAAATGCGGTCGAAGCGTGGTGGCAGATTAGGGATGGCGAAATACGGTCGAAGCGTGGCAGATTAGGGATGGCAAAATGCGGTCGAAGCGTGGTGGCAGATTAGGGATGGCGAAATACGGTCGAAGCGTGGCAGGTTAGGGATGGCAAAATACAGTCGAAGCGTGGCAGATTAGGGATGGCGAAATGCGGACAAAGCGTGTCAAATTGGGGGTGGCGAAATAGGGTCGATTCCTGTCAGGTTAGAGATGATGAAATATGGTCGATGCGTGTCAGATTAGGGAGGGCGAAATAGGGCAGTGGGTTGACGGGTGCCATGTTAAGGATGGCAAAATGCGTGTCAGATTTAATTAAAAGTCCAAGTCTGGTAACTCTGGCATACGGTATGCAGATACATTCAGGCTACATGCTAAACTTAAGAACCTTAAAATGTTCGTACGGTACCGGTATACGGTACGGTAACACTGACACAATGCCCTTCACTTTCTCAAACGTCGCCATCCCTAATCTGCCACCACAATTCGACCGCATTTTGCCATCCCTAATCTGCCACTACGCTTCGACCGCATTTTGCCATCCCTAATCTGCCACGCTTCGACCGCATTTCGCCATCCCTAATCTGCCACGCTTCGACCGCATTTCGCCATACCCAATATGACTTTTCGACCCTATTTTGCCATCCCTAATCTGCCACCTTTCGACCGTATTTTGCCATCCCTATTCTGCCATCCCCAATATGACTTTTATGCTACCACCACTATAGGAGGAGGGTTGATAGCATAAAAGTCATATTGGGGATGGCAAAATAGGGATGGCGAAATACGGTCGAAAGGTGGCAGATTAGGGATGACGAAATAGGGACGAAAAGCCAAATTGGGGATGGCAAAATGCGGTCGAAGCGTGGCAGATTAGGGATGGCGAAATACGGTCGAATGGTGGCAGATTAGGGATGGCAAAATGCGGTCGAAGCGTGGTGGCAGATTAGGGATGGCAAAATGCGGTCGCCGCATTTCGCCATACCCAATATGACTTTTCGACCCTATTTTGCCATCCCTAATCTGCCACCTTTCGACCGTATTTTGCCATCCCTATTCTGCCATCCCCAATATGACTTTTATGCTACCACCACTATAGTGATTATTCGGCGCCAAGACGTTGCGAGGCAACTAATACCGCAGTTATCAAACAGCAATATGACGGCGGAAGAGAAGTTACATAATAAACCAATGCAACTTCGTCTTTGGTAAAGCGATTGAGACGGCAGCAAAACAACAAAACGACATTTCTCACGGACCGCCAAGAAAGCTTGGGTCCGCGAACCAGCGTTTGGGAACCACTGGCCTTTAGCACATTATATGATAGCAACGCGATCGGACGAGATCTCCTTGAAAACTACCTAAGATATTAGTATAAATATTATGGGCGTTTCATTAGCTGTTTGCTAAATTCCCATAAGGCGGCGTGATAAATGACAAAGAACAATTGCCTAAAAATAGCGTTCCTTGTCCAGACGGAACTTATTAATCTCGTATCAGCCTTTGTTTTGATATTTCTGACACTAGGAGGCGTGACGAACCAGGACTTTTCCCGTATTTCCAAAAAGAGGATAAATTAAGTTATGCATACATCTGTTAGCGTTTTTCCTTTTTTTTTATTAGATAAGAATTGTAAAACATTCATCAAATTAACGTAAAACTGCCAAACGTAACAAGACACAATACTGCAATAAAAAATTTAAACTTGTCTGACCGTATGGATGTGCGGAAATGAACTAGGCTACCTTAGCTTGAGGTAGTAGCCAGGTCAGCAGGTCACGGTAGAGAAGTGGAAGTCGGCAAGTTTTTTTTCATGCAGTTGAGTCGATTCCCTTATTCAACCATTGCAGCAGCAAGCTCCTTCTATTTATGCCCTCAGTTTAGCTATACCGGTATCGGTCTTACTACTTACTGAATACAGCGCGAAACACCGCAAAGAGCGCAAAACAGCGCGAAACAGCGCAAAACAGCGCGAAACAGCGCAAAACAGCGCAAAACAGAGGGAAACAGCGCAAAACAGTGTGGAAACAGCGCAAAACAGCGCGAAGGAGCGCAAAACAGAGGGAAACAGTGTGAAGCAGAAAAAAAATTTTGCAATGAGTTCGGGGCACCTTGTTTTGAGTTGGGGTACCACGGCAGCAAATTAAAAACACAAACCAACGTATGTAGCCAGTAATGCTGTAATGACAGGTCTGCCCCTGCTGGTGACACATTTTGGGTACCATAATTTAGAACATTTTCCATATGGATATGGTTGGCTTTAGGGTTAGGGTTAGGTAAAAAGGGACCTCCAGAAGTATGTGCACCAAGATGGCGCACAACCTGAAAATAGTATGTGTGTGTGTGTAGCGGATTCAGGTTGTGCGACATATTGCTGCACATACTTCTGGAGCACCAAAAAGGTAGATAAAATTTCGCATGATGACCTATAATCCGGTACATAACCTTGTAAATATGCCGGAAATAGCGCCATAAAACCATGGCGAGAGGCGCCGTGGTTCTTTCGTGGCAGGAGGTGGTAATGACTGCGTCTCCTGTTTTGCGCTGTTTTCCTCTCTTTTGCGCTGTTTCGCGCTATTTTGCGCTGTTTCGCACTCTTTTGCGCTGTTTCGCGCTGTTTTGCGCTCTTTGCGGTGTTTCGCGCTGTATTCAGTAAGTAGTAAGACCCTACCGGTATCTCTGTATCTGGATTCAGGGTTTGATATTACTGTACTGATAATACCGGTACCGGTATTACATGTAAAGTTATTACGGTACCGTACTGTATTACCGGTACCGGTGCGGTACCGGTACCGGTCTTCTGTCTGGTAGGCAGACTGCTCATGCAGTCATCATCTTCATCTAATTTTTTTTTCAAGATTTGCACTCACCAAGACCTTTTGCCCCCTGCCAGTAATCAGGACATTTACGATTACCCATGTAGGGATGGTTATGTGCGAGAGGATTGCTGGACTCCTCGCCGTCGTTGGGTGGTTCACGTAACCGCTGGTCGGTTACGGCTTCCTCCACCACCAAGTCCATGCTTGCGAAAACAAACAATACAGTAAAATTAATCCCATACCCGACTTGGAATGGTACCGTAACCGGACGAGAGGCCGTGGTTCGCCATATGGATAAGCCGTCTTATCGGCTTTCCTCTCCCTCGGGATAAATATGTAAATCCTATCCTACCGGTACGGTATGGAGTTATACGGTAACGTTAGTTCTGTAGTTACGGTGCAGTTGAAAAACTTTGATCTGTCGCTTGACGCTCAACTTCAGAGCCTAGTAATCTGAAATTCTGACTCCTTAAAATTGAAAATAGCCTTCAGCCATGGAAGATTTCAAGAATAGCCTGTACTTTAAAAGACATCAATTATAATATTAAGTGCAAACCCTTTCTTTACGAAACAGTCTGGGCCTCCATACCGCCATATCTGGACAATTCGACAAACCGGTACTGCACACTAAACTAAAAGGAAGCGCAATCTGAAAACGTCACCATTCAGTACAACACATTATACAGATCGAGCGACATTGTTTCGTTTCAGAGAAACCCATTTTACCGATGTTCAGACACCCCTCCTTTGGGGGACGTCTGGATGTGGTTGTCCCTCAATATCGGTAAAAATACAGTAAAATGAACTTGCGCAAAAAATATAGAGAACAACAATCTAAAAATGTCATCATTGAATTCCTCGGGGAAAAAAATAAACAGATTTACCGAAAGAAAAAATTTTCTACCGTGGCATTCGAGAGTTTTGATTGGAAAACGGCAAGTTTGGTCACATGACGCCCGCGAATACTTTAGATTTGCGCGATATGACGCATCTGCTGTCGGGCCAGACGCCCCTTGTTTGGTAGACACATGGAGTGTTTGTTTTATTAAACCAAATGAAGACATTCTTGGAATTAGGATAGTGTGCCATGCTGCCATTGATTCCTTAGGGAAAATAGTGTTTGGAACCCATCATAGTGAAGGGCATTCGACTAGTTTGATTGAATGCTTGGTATTGCTACAAGTGCAAAAATAAGTTTGCATCTGCACCAAAGATGTCCCAACTGATACTCGTTTAAAAGAGTTGAGGCTGTATTAAGCTTTTTCCGCTCTGCCACCTGAAACAATAAAATAAACAGCATCATACAGGATTTTTGGCCAGTACTGTTTGTTATGTTCTTAAGCTTATTGTTGTAAGTTGCTTTGAGTATCTGACTCAGCAGTTCTCTTCGACATCTTCGAATAATAAATTTTTTTAATTTCTAGAAAGTTACCTGAATTTCATATTAGCTTAAACTTCTCCCAACTGTAGCAAATTACCATTGCTGCATTGAACCCCTGCTTATAAACATTAATGTCGTTGAATATATTCTAGATTTCATTTGGTAATAATCATCAATTGATAGCATTCTGTAAAACATGGGCTTGCTTCCTGGGTGATATATCTATCGAGCATTGCATGTAATGATGGAATATATGAATAGTTGGTTTCAGTACCTGCTTCGTAGCTTTGATTGAAAGGGCGGTGGATTAAAGTATGTCACGTCCACCACAATTATATCCGCACCAGGTTCCTCCTGGTAGCCCTGGTGAGTTGTTATTTTATTGCAATCTTTTGATTTCAGTCATTGAAGTCTAGGAGTGCTCAGTCCATCCTCGTATTTTAGAGTAATAGGCAAACTTACACTTATTCAGTCTCAAATTGTGAATTGATTCTAAAGTTATTGGTTCATTTATCATGCCCAATTGAATCTGTCGTCCTCCAACTTTCAATTAAAGTTAAACAAATATATAGTGTGTGTTTTTTTTTTCTAGATTGTTAATTAAAAGTCTAATGGTCTGTATCATATAATGTTCCCAAATTTTGTTCCTTGTTCAATAATATAGATTTAGTGTAAATATTTAATTGACTTATCATATTTTTGTTTGTTTACTCAATGCTCAAACCTTATATGTTTGGCTGGACCATCTGCCAGATTTTGTTGTATATTTATACTGTTGGCATTGTTATGTTTTGTATAAATATTTGGAAAAATAAACTTCAATTTTCGCCCCAAAAATATTATTAACCCATATTATGTAAGTGGTCAAAATGAGGGCATTTTTTGTTTATGGAATGTTCACGGTAATTTTATATGAAAATATATCATTGAATTTACAACATCATTCAGTTACCATTTCTCTATATTTTCAGTTCTAAAATAGTTTTTGTGAAGTTGGATTGCTTTGTAAAATAAAGAAACCTCCTCTGTATTGCAATATTCTTGTCCGATTTCTGTATAATATTGATGCTATCAATTTATGTCCAAAATTAAAATGGACAGAATTCTGTTGTTTTATATCATATTCATATATATTATTTTTTCAACTCCAGGTATCGAATATCGGTTGGTTGCAAGATATGAACCTCAAGATCTGGAGAGATGCCTTGAATGTGAAGCTAATGATCATCTGTTTGTTAAACTTCCTCCAGTTTTTTCATTCACTGTAATTGCCTTTTCCGGTTTCAATTTGACCTTTTCTTCAAACTCTGAGTAGCCAATGCTTTCCATACAATCAATATTCATTGTAGTTTCTGACTGCAATTAGTGTCCTCTGTGAAAGTTTCGACTTCAAATATATTCCAGTTAGTCTAGGAATTTGATTTTTCCTTATCAAATCCTATCTTTATTTCATACTAAACGCCAGCAGGTTATCAAAATTCAATTGAATGCTCGCTTACGATTTCAAAAGTACTAATTGCTCATTGCTGTATTGCAAAAACATCTAGCATGGAGATTTGAACTCATTTCAGTGTAGTAGGCTACTTCAATATCATGTGTAGTTTTCAGTGCTTGAAAAGTACAAGCTTTGATCAGATAATTATCACTGCTCATTGATGCGACCATCTTTTATTTTGCTTTTGAGGACACAATAATGTTGTTGGTTTTTATTAGGAATCTTATATATGGTTTTGTTTCTTAACTATTAAATTTATCACAGATCAGGTTAATAGATTCCTTCCTAATCCAGAGTATTGTAATCTTGCGGGTCATTTTAGCCGCATTCAAAATTTCACTTTCATACCTTAAATACATTTGATGAATAGTATTTTTTGTGTACACATTATACCCCTATGCTGCTTTCACATTCATCACTTCATAGCCCATCATGAGCATCTGTGTGCATTATGATGATTTGGAGAATTCCAGATACAAGTGTGTGCAACTGACAGCTGCGTCATTGATCGTTTTCAACTGACTGACTTGCTAATCATCATAGTTCTATAGTTAGCGTGCTAGATGATAGATCTATTGTAATATAAGGCATTATTGATATTATGTTTTTTCAGGGAACAGAACAAAATCCTGAAGGTTGGATCTATGGCACTAACATGCGAACTGGCTTGATGGGTTATGTTCCAGCAGGATATGTCAGATACATTCAAACAATTCCTCTCCCCATGCCATCAACTCCTCGTCCGCCACCGATACCTCCACCTACTCTTGGCGTAATCCCAGAAATTGATGATTCTGCTCAACATCATTATCGCCATGAAGACGAATCACCTCCAGTGATTCCACCAAGGTAATTTGATACTGTTAATTATGAGAGAAAATAATAAACAAAACAATGTTTACCTCAAATGTTCAGCATTACACATCGTGGTTTCCATGAATCTACAAATTGTAAAATTCTCTGTTGAATGTGGCCTATTTTTAAAATATTTCAAATTCCTCTTCCTTGGTATGGCTTAGTATTTCTTGGATTCTCTTTGATATGTTTGCATGAAATATTCTGAAAGGGTTTTCAGTATTGTGAACTTTTGGCATTTTCACAATAAATAATTTGACTATCTATGAGTTGGAGTTATGTGAGACTAACTACCTTTCCTTGCTCTACTACTACGCCTTTGCGCAAGTGCATCCATATACGCGTATAATGCAAGAACGCTGCAGCAGGAATAAATATGACTATTTTATTTGATATTTGATACATGAGTCTTGTTGCACACTAACACATATGCATTTCTATAATGTTTCGAGAATCCTTTTGTTAGTGTGCAGCAACGTCTTGAATAAAGTTAAATAATTGGATATTATTTTTTTTTAACAGACCAAATTTTGGAAATGAAAGGGTAGTTCAATGCAAGTAAGTATGGTTTTCTTTTATTTTCATTTACTTCAATCACACCAAATTCATATTAGGCTATTATTATTAATAACTTGTTTTTTAGGATTATGAATGGTATTGGGGAAATATAACTCGAGATGAAGTCAATGAATACTTCGAGATACTTCTGATGGAACATTCCTTGTACGAGATGCAACTGCTGCTCCTGGTGACTACACACTAACTTTGCGAAAAGGTGAAAATGATATTGATCATTCATTTTCATATTTTTAGTGTTGTTGTTATGATTAATGCTGATTTCTTTAATTATTTTTATTCAATTAGGGTTTTAAAGTTTGCCTGAACCCTTTATTAATTTCCGATACTGAAATCCTATTAGATGTGTATTCATAATAGGTGGAGGCTACCCATATATAATGTGGAGTATTGATAATGGTATTTCTTTATTTTAGGAATATTAGAGGCATAAGGAAAATGAGAAGTTTTGCGCATAAACATTTGTGAGATGTTAAAAGTTAAAACTTTATATTTCCAGAAATATACCTGTTTCTATTTTTGCTCTGCATCAATACAGTCGTCACCCCTGAACAACAAATATACGGTACATATGTTTTCCGTGTCAATGCCTGATCATCTATCAATGACTTTTTTGCTAATGGCACTTTTAGTTGCGTAACTAGCGTTCCTACTTTACGCAAAGTTACATTAAAAATTAAAACCATCAAAAAATGGCCAACTCTTCAAAAACTTTCTCTGGATAATTGTTCGCTTTTGATTTAACTTTTATTTCATTGATATCATAATCATTTCATTTATGGCACATTTAAATACAGTGTGTGCATCAGCTGGTCTTTTTACGCTACAACCAGTGTTAACAAGTTTATTTTTAGACTCATGACACATTTATTCCAAGCCACTGTGTCAAGAATCTTCCTATGTCTAGCACCCAGAGCCAGGTTTTGTATAGTGAATGTTAGAAAGTTGATATTGTTATATTTGCAAATTATTTCATGCTTGTTATTCAAATTTTTACAGGATGGAATGAATAAACTGATAAGAATTTACTGCCGAGCAGGAATGTATGGATTCTCACCTCCTTTTCAGTTTAAATCAGTAAAAGATTCTGATTGATTATCATACAACGGTTTCATTAAGACAATATAATGATGATCTTACTGTTTGTCTCAAGTTTCCTGCCTGTCGACAGGTTTGTTGGTTCATAGGCTATATGGTTTTAACATAAAGACCTATTCTTTTATTGTTATTCTAGTTGCTAAATATATTTGAAAAACCCTTGTGTTAGAACAGTGTTCGTTTATGTGTTGCATCAACTAATGGAGCCCAACAAGCATAGGCAACCTAATGATTTTTAGTTCTATTTAGATGGACAGGGTGGCCAAAAATCTAAACCTAGGTAATTTGGAACATATTCTAGAGAGAACATAACTTTTTATGCACAGTGGCCTAAATTACTGTAACCTTTGGGAAAAAATTATACAAACAGAAGTTCAAGTATTATATTAATTTTCTTCATTTTGAGTAATTTAAAATTTTATGGGTCTGTGTGGGTCACACTGTATAATCAAATACTTCAAACATCAAATGGCACCAATTTTTTGAATGATTGTAGATATGAAATGCAGTATACTTGATAGATTTGGAATGGGGTCGAACTAGGAATTTTTCACCACAAGATTAATAACATACAGCGCAGTAGCATATGGATATAATCATGATTCCAAAATGAATAAAGGATCGTAATTCGTACACTTGATATAGTGAATTCCTGATTTTAAAATAATTTCATTTGACATATTGAGCCTTATGCTCCACACAAAAGAAAAGACTTTACTAAACTTCTGACAGCGAAAAATGTAAAATCAAGCAAAAGAACATTTATCCCAAAGTTAATTTTCATTGAAATATGAAAATTTATCTGTTGAAAATATTCTATGAAAATGTTATTTATGATGGTAAATTATTCGATTTGTCCTTCTCTGGCTATAATTCTTAGATGTGAAAAGATTATAATTTTTAATTGTAGCCCATTCAATACATTTTACAATTTCAGAAAATTCAAATGTTTGAAAATTGCTCCATCTCTAGAACTTGAAAAATCATTAGAAAAGTTTTATCGTAGCATTACTAGCATAACATTTTGCCTATATTAGGTATCTAGGTTATTTTTGCTGAAATGAGATCATATTTCTTTATGAATAGTGACATATGTATTCTGGTCTGCATTGTTTATTTATCATTCCTATGTGCTCAATCATATCAATTTTACTGTTTGCATACAATTACTTTTACCTTCGAAATTTTGTTGCACTGGTAGCTGTATCCTAACTGTGGAAAATTGAGATTTATTTGTTCAGGCTATTCAATTTCATCTGACTAACAAAACAACTATATTGTATCTCTATATAACATAATAACTATAAGGGCAGCATACACAACATGCACATAATTAAATTATCTGAATTCACAGTTTTTGTCGTTTGTTATCAGTGTTCGATCCCAGTTATACATATATGGCACTGTCTATTTAGTTTTGATGTTGAAACTGCTCGTCTACACTCAATCACCATACAATAACAGTATATTTTGGGCATTTTTTGCTTCTTGCCAAATAAAATTTGTGGAATATTATTTGTTTCTTTCTTAGTAAATATCAACATTCATTTGTGTTCACTTTTAAATTCTAATGATTGGGCTATGTTAACTTGTGTGTTCTCATTTACATTTTGTCCGGGGGATATCATCCTGGGATAACTGGGCTTTAATTATATTCCCCAGTCCCCACTCTTTAACTGACCAATGATGGTATGACAATGTGGGTAAAACCACTGAAGCAATTATGGAACATGGATACAAGAATCCTCCAGTTTTCGAAGAAACCTTACAGTCAGTGGAGTGACAATGTGGACATTGGTTACAAGTCTTCCAAAGCCTAAACAGGCAATTGCTGTTGCTTTATCGCTGACTGGGAAAGCCAAGGAAACAACCATGGAGATTGCTGCAGAAGAGTTGAACAAAGATGATGGTATGTCAACTCTGCCAGAGGAATTGGATGTAGTATTTGAAAGATGTAAAGTCTGTCAGGCATATGATGCGTACCATGAATTCGAAACTTTCAAAAGAGAACCGAGTGAGAATGTCAGGGATTACATTTTGAGATTCGAGAGGCTGTATACAAAGTCTAAGAAAATTACCTTACCAGATTCTGTATTGGTGTATAAACTTCTTGAAGGTGCTGAACTGAGTCAACATTATAAACGACATGTTTTGATAGCTGCCAGTAAACTGGAGTACGAAAGCAAGAAATCCTCTATGAAAAGAATTTTCGGGGAAAGCCTGATGTTTAAGTCAACTTCTATTGAAGTTAAAGATGAACCACTCAGGAAATATATCTCAGGAAAAGATTTTCATAAAAGAAAGGCTCCTCGAAAAATGAATCCACTGCGGAAAGATGGCTCTGTTAGCCGCTGTCTGTATGTCGGTGAATTTATCATTAGGTTGAAGATTGCCCTACAAAAGAGCAGCGGAAGCAATTGAAATTCAGTTGTGCAGTTTGTAAATCCAATCAACATCATACTACAAGGTACCCTCACAAGGAAGATTCACTTAAATCAGAAGTGGAGGCTGTTGATGAATGAGCTTGTCAATATCACACTATTATCAAATGGCAGAAATAGTCTGGTGGATGCAACAAGAGCATGTGCGGTTATTGATTCGGGTTGTACATCAACAGTTTGTGCAGTAGATTGGCTAGTGCACTACATCGAAATGTTCCTTGCAATTTGCATAACAAAATTAAGCAAAAGGTGAGCTACCTTACTTTTAAGTTTGGTGACGGTAATAATGAAGTGCGATCTATTTATGCTATATGTTCGCCAATACAGATATTGGGAATATCATGCTACATAAATTGCGAAGTCATTATCAAATGCCTTCTCCTACTTCTGAGAAAAGAATCTTTAAAGAGAGCAAAAACAACATAAATTTTGAAAATGATAAAATTACGATGTTTGGTCAAAGTGTTGAAATAAGAACAACTACTGTACACTACTGTATAAAAATATTACCAAGTCAGATTGGTAATGAAATTAACAATAGAATTCTTTTTTTGAAAGATGGTTACAATAAGATTGAGGGGAAAATGCATTTATTGAATTTGCATAAGCAGTTTGGACATGCTTCATCATATGCATAACTCAAGAATTTTCTAGAAAAAGCGGCCACTCTGACAATTCTATAGCCTATACATTGTATTTTTGGCCAACAATCGAAATCAGTCAATACAGTTAAATAAGATTAAACAAGCTGTGCAAAGTTCATTGGCTGCAGAAGCTTTGGCAATGGCTGATGGAATTGATTCTGCTATGTATCTTGCTGCGTTAAATGCAGAGTTATCCAGTGGATTTCTAGATTCTATGCAACTTCCAATTGAATGCATCACATACTGTCAATCGCTGATATAATCTTTTCAATCCATGAAAGCGGATACTGAGAAGACACTATGAATTGAACTTTGTAGCCTGAAAGAAATGATTTCTTCTAAGCAGATAACGAGATAGCGATCAGAGACTGTCGACTTCATGTATCCTTTGCTCTGACTCAATAGCGACACCACGTGTCCCATTACTAATTAAGTAATAACTTGCTAATTAGACTTCCAAAATCAACAGGCTCCTGGTCCTAGATATGATGAATGCACATGCAAAATTTGGATCAGATTCAACCTCGCTTTCGTGAGATATCGCGTAACATACGAAAGTGTCAAACAGACGGACAAATACCTATCAACATACTTACCGATCTAGATCAATAAGTAATGAACATTGTGAATTGTGCTATTAAAATGCAGTTGGCAGATTGTCTGACCAAGAAGGATGTCACACCTTTTACAAATTAAATTCTGGGTCCCTCTCACTTTAAAAAGAAAATAGAGGGAGATTCTTAACTTGTGTGTTCTCATTTACATTTTGTCAAGGGGATTATCCTGGGATAGCTGCGCTTTAATTTTATTTCCCACTCTTCAACTGACCAGTGACAGCACAGCATGGTGGTATGGCAATATGGGTAAAGTAAAACATGCATGGTGAAGCATGGTTCCTGGGTATAAATACTGCCATGCTGGTTTCCAGAGGTCATTCACTTTAATGTAGCAGAGGCAACATGTGTCTTATGTCTTGCTCGTGTTCAATAAAACATTAATTTACACCAATAAACAGTATAGTACAAAATTTTAGTTATTTTTATGTGTTTCCTATATAGCTCTATTAGGCTGCATCTAGAATGATTTTCAATCATTTTAGTTGTAAGTGAAATGCCCGGAAGGAGGCTATTCAAATGGCAATTTCCAACACCCATTATTTGAAAGAAGTGTTTTTGGGAACCAAAATAATCGAAAATACTGTTTTCTGAAAATTTTCTTAGTTGTACTGGTGAATAATGATCTGTGTCAAATTTTAAGACTACATTCTTGGAATTACAGTAATATATCTGTACTGCGGCCTTTAATTCATTACGAACATACATAATCAAAGACTATTATAAAAGCTGATTGCAGCCGAAAGTTTCAGATATTTGCCTACCTAGTCCTATCCTATCAATCACACAATAAATTTACAATTTTATTTCCAGGTAATTTCGACCCAAGATATTAATCAACTTTGTCAAGCGTTGCAAGAAATTCATAAACGAGTTGTTGACAATAGTAATGATTATGAAAGACAGCACGATGAATATAATAAGAGACAACAGGTTTGATCAGTGGTCTTAATTAATTTCCGAATGAGGTCAATATGCTATAATATAATCTATTCATGGTTTTAAACTGTATTATAATCCTAATGGAAGATAGTAGTGTACTGATTGCTTACAGGATGCGCCACCTACTCATTGTGCTGTATTGATGTGCGCTCCAGAAGTGAGTGTACCAATATGGAGGTAACTAATTTTGTTCGCCTACTTTACATCAAGTTGTGTAAAGGGACTGAAACCTATGGGCATGAAGTAGATTCACTTGGCTAACACAGACAGTTCCCGAACTTGTAATAAAACTATATGGCCTAACCCTAACCTGGTACACACACTATGGGAGTACCTATTGGTGTGTATATTAATTAATATAGAATAATATCCATTAAATTTTTTTTCTGTTATTTTTAGTGACAGAAGTGGGTTGATGTTTATTTTTTTATTTTTTTTAAATGGGGTCAATGTATTCAATTCTGAGTGGATTTGATTATTATTTGATTTTCTACCATGGTTACTGTAAAGAATTTATTATTCTCTAAAGAAGTTTGCCCAAGAATGAATGGGTAACATAAATAATCATTATAGCAAAATGGCTCGTTACTAGGTTTTTTATTTATACTAATTAGTTCAAGAAGCATGCCCTGAGGGCAAATTTTTAGTAAAATTTCATTTTGGGGCGTTGTTTGGGCAGAGAATGATAATTTTGTTTGTTTTTATTGTATTTTGACCCGTTATTGTCGATTTTTTGATGAAAATTGTATTAATTTTTTAGATAAGCTTCTACTTTCATTTTGATATGGAACCATGCCATGAGTACCGTATATTTTAATAAAATAGTAAATATAGGGGAAATAAAACGTTAGTACTTTCAATATTTTAGATTAAATTGTTGACATAGGTATTTTAAGCATGAAATGATAACATGCTGTCTCATTCGCATTCTGTCATCATTGTTTATCAACTGATAATCATAATAATAATGTTTTTTATACAATACTCGCTTTTCGCTATTGATAAGACACTATATAAGTAGCCACTGATATCACACCATATGTATTTTTTTTCACTTTTTTACTTCGAAGGACCAGAATCTTTCCGGTTCGGCATTGCCTATCCAATTCATTACCCTATGGGTACGGTGGGGTGCATGGGATTTGAACCCTAGATATGGCATCTGTGATTCCAAAACAGCTAAGTCGCTTGCCCGCTAGGCCATCCCGTTGCGGCCACGGCTGCCCCGGATGTGCCACCAAATCTGTGATGAATTTTTGTAATTTTTTCTGCCGAGACTTGGTTCATTAAGTAATATTATTCTAACCTTATCTTGTCGTGTTTTTATAAACCCTTTCACAGACTAATGTTGTCTCTACAATGCCACTCACAATATTACAAACTATAAGTTCTCCCAGTTATATCATTGCTATTTCTCTCAACCTACTTCCAATCCACTGTATTTTCTTTCAAATTCAACATTTTTTTTCATTCTTTTCATAGAAAATACAACACAGCAAAACTGCCATTGATGCTTACGCGAAAACAATAGAAATATTTGAAAATCAATGTTCTGTATTAGAACTATGTTTAAACAGAGGGAATCATGATGAAAGCAGGTTTGTGTTCACATCTGCCACAATCGATAGTTTAATTGGTATAATACTATTTTAGCATTTTTCGTCCTGTTCTGGTGGTGTGTCGAGCTTATGACACCTTGCCGAAAAGATTTTGCCCTTTAGTATACTGTACACCCCTGCTTCCATGTCAAGGTTAGGTTTCTATGTTCCAGTATACTCCATTGTTCCATGAGTAGAATCTTTCATTATGGCTATTGAAATGTGGTTTTGACCTTTTTGAATAAGAATAATCCAAAGTTCAGCAGGTCGATTTGACAGTGCAATTTCAATAATTCTCACGTAGTAGCTAGGAAATATTCAGATATGCCGACATAGAATACATACTTGTTCTGCAACATCTGATAGATAGATGAATAGATGATTTACTTCTGTATATTTCATTACATGTTTATAAGTACATATTGCAATAAGAATAAACAAACAAACAATAATCATGAAATATAATCGGAAGGGGGCGTGCAAGACTTCAAGGTCAACATGGTCATATGGCCCCTGCAGTAGTAATTACATATCTTGTCTTTAAATTTCAAGAGATTGAATCATGTTTTTAAAGCTTGTTTTGTTTTTTAGGTTGATGGACAACTTCAGGAGTCTACAGGGACGTTTGCAAAGTGTTATTCAACAAAAAGTCACCTTGGACGATGAATTACATAGAGAAGTGCAAGAAAACCGACAACAAGATTTTATTATTAATAGTTTAAAAGGAGAAATTCACAACGGAAAGAAACAGAGAGATTCAATTATTATGTGAGAAATTTGTACAACTATTTGAAACTAACTCGATTTTGGGTTATGACTTTTTAGTTTATTCACATTGTTGATAGTTTTAATATTTTATTTCCTTCTGTTAGTAGGACATTATGATTAATATTTGATTGTATTCATGAATGGAATACAAATGCAAAATGATTTGAATATCTTAAAACATTTTTTTCTATTTGTCATTTTGATAAATTCATTGGAATCTGAGAAAACAACCATATGTCTTGCCATTCTGCATTACTGAATTCAATTTTTGTAACTCCACAATGATTTTTGTAAATTTCAGTATTCTGTATTCGGAAATATTATTTCAGGATGTATTCGGAATGGTAAATTATTCGGTTGTGGCCATTCCTTGTTTTATAAATATGATTTGCAACAAATGAAAGAACTAAGGAATCAGGTTGATGACATTGGTTGGTCGCAATGCAAATTTCAAAAGAACATTTGTCTATTCCCAAAAGAAATATTGGATCGCTCTTATTGCCCACGAATATAAACCCTTATTGCTACTACCTTGCTAATGCTATCCAATACTGGGTCATACTTACCTGAATACACATGAATGAAACGTTCACCTACTGGTAGTTTAAATCTCATCAGGATTATGTCTTTTAATTTTAGTCTGCAAAGCATCCCGTTTCGAGTCTACGGCTGCTTATTGTTTTAGCTCTGTCTCAACATCTACATGTCACCTATTATGTCGTCTCAATATGTGACATTACAAATTTTTCTTGACAAGTATTTACGATCTTACTTTGAAATGCAATTCATTTTCTCTTTTATCAGGCAACTTCGTGCGCGAGATGTTTCAGATTACGATATTAATTCGTATCTTCATCTTAATGGTGAAATACAAGATGAAGAAGATGTTTATTCTGTAATGCCAATTGATGCTGAAGAAGATCTTCGACATAGATTTCCAAAACATTGCAAGAAAGAAAATTGGTTCTTTCCCAACTATGAAAGGTAGAAGTCTCAGATCAACAACATTATATTCTGCTGTTGTATAACGTTTTCTATCTGATCTTTTTTATTTATTGTATCTTGTATGGCATATACAGTATGCTAGCCCAATAGGAAGCGTATATTTGAATACATTCAAAATTAGGGGATGCTTATTTCAGCTCTCCTGCACCATAAAGTTTGAACTATGTCGGCACGAAGACCTATTGGTTATAGCACTAGACTTAACTGTGTTGGCATTGCGAGTTAAAATCTCTGGTTCAAAACGTATAACCACCACCACCTCGCCCAGGGTGTAATAAAGAGGGTAGGCAAAGTCGTACGGGAGTATTTTAAAAATAGTAGCTCCTTACATGGCATTCAATATCTGTGGATGCTTTATAAGGCCTTGCTCAAAATAAGCATCATGAAAAATAAAAATATGAAATGATTCAATCTGCAATTGGACATGATACCATTTGTTTCTGTATTCAAAAATATTTATTCACAGTGTGTTATATTGCATTTACATCACCAAGACATTGTTCAGTTATAGCCAATGCTGGGATTTTTTATGATCAGCTTACATACATGGTTATTAATTTTATACGCCATCTTCGTTCACAGGGATGATGCTACGAAACTCCTCAATGATAAACAAACAGGGACATTTCTCATACGACCAAGTAGGAAAGCTGCTTTTGCCTGTTCACTTGTGTAAGTATAAATTTATACCCCAAGACCTTTCGTTTTGCAAACTTTGCTATTTAAGTGTTAGATTTTGCTGATATATTTTATACTATGCAAGCAAAGATGATGAATCCGCTAAAGTTTTTCTGTGGACCCTGAGAAGTTCATTGACCCCTGTTGGAAACCAATACCCTATTACATGATGTTGCTATTTTGGATTGGAATATAATACAGATCATTCAATAAAAATATGTTCTTGTGACAATACATTAATCGCTTCTATCTCATTCTTGATTAGAGCCTATTAAGAATACATAGGATTTTCTATACATATGTTTTGTTGAGTTGGTAAACAGATGATAGACTGTGGTCCATCACATGGTTAGGCTGTCCAAATGACCTTCCTGTTTTTCCGGATAAGCTTATTCTATAAACGACTTTTATCCTTTGCCTAACCTCTGAGTAGTGAGTTTTGATATGCAGTTATATTTGAATGAAAAAACTGATATTTTACGGAAATCTTGTTATTTTTCAATCCAGGCCACCTCATTTGCTTTTACTCTGGCTTTCAACATAATTATATTCATTAATTTAATTTTAATTATTTTTAATTCAGTGCCAACGGCAAAGTTCATCATTGTTTAATACAACGAACTGGAGAAGGATATGGATTTGCCGAACCTTTCAATCTTCATCAAACAGTGGAGGATTTGGTGCTTCATTATGCACAAAACTCTCTCATTCCACATAATGAAAAATTAGACACCAAATTACTTCACCCCGCAGGATTATTTTTGTGACACCATCAACTAATGTAAAACAAGGTAAAATGAAAATGCCCGGAGCAGAAGATACATTGAAAGTCTTGCAACCAACATGGTTCCTGGGTAAATTTTTTTTTAGATATTTTACTTTACTTGATTATTGAACATATATTCTTCATTACTATCATACCGACTATGGAAGGAAGGGTGTCAGGTTTTTTTCTTGTTCAAAAATTGTCAAATAACAGTTTCCACGTATCACATTATCAATAATATGTTCTGATATCTGGGAATTTCCAAATACCTAAAAAGAAGCTATAAATTAAAATTATACAAAATTGTTGGCCATACCTCATTTTAAAGGATTTAAAAATAGAAAATCAGTTTTTATTTAGTGAAATTTATTTAATTAGACCAAATATTCTAAAGTGCTATTGTACGTGTATTATGATTTCATTCTTCTCATATATAAACAGCATTGGCTCTTGATGCTTTGCCTTACTAAAGTTAGGTTATATCTTCTTGAAATAAATAGAAAGCTTCGACGAGCAAATGATTTTGTTATCACCATGTCCAAATCTTCATTTCTATCTGTTTTAAGGGTCACTTTATTGGTTGATTTCTCAACTGTTTTAATGTTCAAAGTCGCTCATGTCACTTTATGAATAACATTAATAATCGAAGTATCCCTCATCATTTTTTCTATGTTAACATTTCATGTACTAGGAATTTATACGTTCGCCCATCAAATTTTGTAAGTTGTGATTGTTTCTTTCAAAATGCTGCCTCTGACTTGTTCCAACATCAAAAATAAACGATATTTTGCTTAAGAAAATAAGGCAACTGTCTCCTTCTATTACATTCCACATTGTTGATTTTTCGATTCGATTTCCTTTTTTTTCTTCATGTTTCGATGAAATCTAATTTTAGATTTTAAAATATAACATTGGAAATTATATACTGCCCTCTGCCCACCTAATATTTCGTGCCATTTCATTTGTGTTAGCTGCTGTTTAAGTATTGATTTTGGGGGCTGATAAATATGTATTATAGTTATTGTATTGAGTAATCTAGTATTTGTGAAATCCATTTACAATTTTTGCTTCTGAAACAGTAAATTGTTATAAATTTACAGTAGCAAATTACAAATTTTGATTTTTTAAATTCATGTAGAAAAAGATGTTTTGGAATAGCATTTATTTAAATCTCCCAGAATGTAAATTGTAAGTTAACATAAAGTTGTTTAGTATGAGGTATCGACTAAAATATTTACCTTCAAAACTATGGTCGCTCGAGCAATAATATATTAGTAACAAGCAATAAATTTTGATTCGTACTTCCATGTCACAATGAAACAATGTCGTTATTTTTCAAATATTTTAATTTAATGTTGGAAAACCTTCAGTGCTCTGCCTCACATATTAACAAATAACTGCTACCTTTGTTTTCATTAACTTAAACAGTTTGTTGTTCACAAAATATCAGCTATTTTTTGAATATATGGAATTCTGCTTTCCTGGTTAAATTCAATACTATTTGACAAGCCAATATGGCATTTTTGATGATTATGGTTTCGTGATATCAGGATCATCCTCTACTTCGTTTTTTATGTTATTTAATCCAGTAATTATTAAAATTACATTACCAATATAATCTGCCTTTTATCATGTGTTCCATCGCATTTCTGCCTTATTGTATTGATCAGTAACTCCTTGTCCAATCACTCCCTTTTTCAATTACTGTACTCTTTTTTTTTATTATTAATATAATTGTTTATTGCGCTATTTTGAATTTTTTCTAATTGGTATTTGATTCATGGGAACCAAAAGTGTATATAAAGAATAATCATCATTGCTGTGTTATTTTAAAACTTTAAAATGTGTTTAATTTCTAAAATTTGGCTTAGATTCTTGTTTCCATATGTGAATATGCCATTGTCATACTATCCTTTCAGACCCCTTCTAAATGAGGTAAGTAATGTTTTTCTCTAGTAGAAGAAAGTTTGTATTCATATTTTTGTAGGAAATTCGTGCCATATAAACATCTTCACACAAAGAATTCAATGTTTAGAATAAACCTAAAATAAAATTTACTTGATCACTGATCAGTTGGATTGAGCATCTGAGTGACATCAGCTATGATAAGTTTTGGCTTGTTATGATGAATTACAGCAATGTAATGTTAGACTCTGGGCATATTATTGACCAAACATTTCATCAAATATATAACAAAATACAGGTTTTGATGATGATGTTGATCTGGTGTTTCATAATCGTCTTTTTGTTGATGCAACCGTCTTTTTGCTGCTGATATGGTAGAAATGGAATGAACATTTTAGCCTTATGGATTCTCTTGACCTGTTTTTATTCTTGTTCTGCAGTAAGAACTATGCTCTGAGGACTGACACCTAAGTACTTCTTGATCTATCCATCTATATCTCTCAAAGTACTTTATGGTGTCAATATTGCAAACTTATCAGGTTATCATATTAAATTCAGTATACGGATATTATTATGTTAATCAAGAATTCGTTTCTTACATTTCATAGCAAGTAAGAGTCCATGTTCATATTTGAGCTAGCTTATTTCAGGCTATATCTATTCTGTGTTTTAACGTTTTCTCACATTATTTTACACTGCTTTTTATATTATATATAAGCAGAATGATTTAATGAATGCATTTTTTTTCTTATGATTATTATTGTCGCGATTTCATGAAAGCAATAAAGATGTAATGAAAAAAATCAATTGTTTAAGTCACTTTGGCGCGAATATGCGTACCACTGCGTGAAAACATCTGGTATAACGAACGGCATGGACCACACTTAAATTTCTAACCAATTTGCTCAGAACAGCATTGTTCTGTATAGCTATTGAAGATAACATGGGTTCGACGTTTTGTAGAATAGGTTCGACACCCCTCAAACTATTGAACTATTCCTAACTATACCGATCAGTGTTGCGCCATATGATCTAGCTAGAGGTTATATAAGTGTTATCCTATCCTCAAGACGGAGATGGCGAACCTTTTTCAATGATTAGGTCAAAAATTAAAGAAAAATTATTGCATTGTTATGTCATAAACGTAAATACATCGTACACACCGTGATACGAAGCAACGCCCAATCAAGATACGAGAATATCGGTCGGAGACCGAAGACTTATCGATCGAAACTGCGGTTTCGATTCATGACTCTATAGTGACACCGCGTGTGCCATCACTAATTAATTGATAACTTGCTAATTCATCTGAAATCAATAGGCTTCTGGTCCGAGATATGATGAATGCACATGCAAAATTTGGAGCAGATTCAACCACGCATTCGTGAGATATCGCGTGCATCTAACAGACAAATACCTATTAACATACTTACCGATCTAAAGATCGATAAGTAATGAACATACAGATGCATTATAACTGCAATGTATCCCATTACACTGCCCTTCATTAGAACTGCGTAGTTCGGCAAGTGCTATTTTAAATGCGCTTACTATCTGCAATCCATTTATTAGGAACTTCAGACCACAGTACAAGTAACATATCACACCCATAATTTGAATAAAGTTTCGAATTGAATTTTTGATCCCAGCTGTGATCTCTTATTCCGTATTTCTTTTGGCTAGAAGACTAATATAAATGCTTCGTTTACAATGTATTGCTCGAACTCAAAATACTTATATTTAAAACAAGTATTCGGAGCATTTCTAGAATATATATTCTATTTAATTCTACTAACTTCGAGTTAGCGTGTAGCAAGACTCTTAAATCAAATAGAATAGTCATCTTGTACATTTACAGCATCCTTGCGTTATACGCATACGGACCCCCTTGCGTAAATGCATAGAGCAAAGAACGGTAGTTACTAGTCAGTAACGCGTAACCCTAATTGATAGGCCCCTCTGGAATAATTTGTCACTGGGTATCTCATATCTTCCAAATATTTAATAACTAATGAAGAGTCGCTATTTTACCAGCGCATCAACACGGACAACACCAGCTGTCGTCAACTACCATTCTGATACGCCAATTAAACAAATCAACCCAGGATGTTTTAATTTGTAACTATGTTTAAAAACATAATATTTTGCCGTAATTTGTTCTCTGTGGCTTGCTTATCGCTGCGGGCTAGGAAGAACTGTCAACATTGTCTGAAAAATATGAGTAAACATATTTTCAATGCGAGAATAAATAGAAGGATATCGGCATGTTTTAGGTGATATGATATATAAGAAAGTATAGTTAAGTATCAAAGAACCTGCAATAGTTGAATTAAATGACGTAAAAATAAAATAGATTAATAAAAAAAAAATTATAGCTATCACGAATGACTACAGCGTATTTATATGGGCGGATTTGGGACTCAAACCTATAAAGTTTTGCTAAAGTGATATATTGAAAATACCAGTTCCATAAAGAATTTGTGGCTTTGAATTGAAAGTTTTCGTAAAAATAGTTCAACATTTAGATCAGTAACCTGCAAGTCAAATCAGTTGAAGAGAAAAATTTGAAAACCTAATGGTTTCGCGTACTTTAGTGCAGCGTGCGTGTCCGTATCACTGATTAGGTTCGCAAGCACTACGCCAATTGATTAGATGCTATCTAATTCGATCTAATCTACACGAGTTTCTGCGAATTAACCGCACTGTTGTTTGACTGGTAAATTACTACATAATTAAATAGTAAACCTATTTTTTCGTATTTGCGCCAAGGGTGCAGAATCAATAATAACCAAACTTGGACTGTGGCCTGGTGTTGATTTGCGCGTCGCACAATATCGTCAGATAGAGAGAGTATTCGAATTGGAAAAGGTATCCTTAATCAACCATAAGTGTAAGCATTCTTGGGAATCTAATAAAAATGTGTTCCGCAATCGTAGTTTGGAAGTCTACGAATGCAGGTTATAGTCCCAGCACTGAATCAAACTTAGCTCCATTAATTCTGAAATAATTCGAATATTTGAATCTATTATATACAGTATATATAATTTGAAAACAATCGGTGCAATTGTTGTGAAAAATGTCGACTTCGAGAAATGTCGAACTGAAAATACTTGAAAAATCCACAAACAACTCACGCGAATTTTAGCATGTCTACACTTTGTGTCCAAATATCGATAGTAAATTTGAACTTGCGACCCTCGTGACAAGCATGACATTGCTAATTTCACATGTCGGTCTCTACTTCGGTATTCACCAAAACAGAGGAACAATAAAACCACTAAGCCTCTTCATACCTATTTTATGTTAAAAAATGTCACGTGTAAGTTCACGTCCTGCCTTTATCGTATCTGTCTCTGTGGTATTGTCGATTCATTATCCTAACTGAAAAATGAGTTGAAATTCGTTTAATAAATTCATCACGATCTAATCGAGATTTGTGCCTAAGACCGATTGTGTGCGTTGTTATTTAGGGCGACACGTTTTTGTATTATATTACCGTAAAATTATGTTGTTGATGATAACAAATAGAATTGGTGTTTCAGCTGTGTTACATAATGTTACTAGAAGGAAGTAGATTACAGCATTATTCAATTAAATTTACCAGAATGTTCTACATATACTTCGAAAGGTAGCGTTAATGATAGTATGTCCACTGTATTGGAATGTGACTTGTACTTTACTTTTATGGGATAATAAATATACAAGTACCGTATACTAATAGGCGCTCCCGAAGTATGTGCACCAAAATGGCGCACAACCTGAACCCTAACCTGGCACACATACTATGCGCCATCTTGGTACACATACTTCTGGAGGACCTACTATCATACCCAGAATTGTCATCATGTTGTGCTCACTCGTGCCTCCAGAGGATATTATGGCGTTAAATTTTTATATTATAACATCCGAAGGTTCGACAGCATGACATCCGGAATCAAAATTTAGATTAGCTAATTTGGATTACCATGAAATGCTTTACATATTGCTTGTGGCCTGAAAACTAAACTGCTGGTGGAAGGTTTGGATACGAATGAATGTTAGAGTAGAAATAATTAAACAAAATGTTTTTAAACGCACTAATATTTCTATTTCTATCCCGATTGAATTATATCAGATGAATGCATCACTTCGATCATATATCGAACGTGCAGGTTCCAACATTACAGTTTTATCGGAACCTAGCACATACTGAATGTGAAACATAAAACTATAATGAAGCCTAGGCTATCAAATTATCTGTTCCGCTGTAAACAAGGCAATTTGCTAATGTGTGCCACGAAAGATCATAGGGTTGCCGACATGTACATCCGGATAAATTTTTGGATTGAAAGGAATTGCTAGATACAAAAACAACCACTGGCAGCACTGGATCAATACTGTTGTATTATATCAAGGTTTTTGGACACGAAATTTATCTATGAATCGTTTTGCAAAACTCATTTTTTCAAACTTCCCCTCAGTCCCATGAGGCGCCTAACTTCACTCGAAAGTCTGCTTTTTTATTTTAATTCTTTTGAACACTTATTTATGAGAAGGGAATACTTTATTGCAAGCTGACGTCGATTGATTTCAATGCTCTCGTTAATTAAACCATGCAAAAAAGTCACCTGTTTTTTTGTAATTAACTAATTACTCATTGGAGTATGTATTGCTTTTATCTTCTTATTTCATCATTTATCTCAATGTTGTTCAAGGATATTGCATTACACCCTCGTATGCCGGGGGCTATGAAACTTCATACGCACTAATAAAAGAACAAAGATTTTAGAGAAGACCCCGCAATAATATCTGCGCCATTGTAGTTAATAACCGGTGACGATGTAACAATGGAACCCAATTATCGTAACTACCGAAAATATTATACAACAATCACCAGTATTCACACAAAACGGAATGGCGTATGTGTGTCATTGTCAGTGAGACTTCTGCGTGCTCAAGGTGAGGACGACTGGTGTCAACGATATTGCAAATAAGATAGCGGTAAGTCTTTTTAAATACTAAAAAACAAAAAATAAAGTGACTGTTTCTGTTATGAACTATAAATATTAATCATTTGTACCGTTGTGATTGCTGATAGTCAAAAAGTTCTAAAATAATCTAGCTATTTGCTCTTGCTAAAAATACTCGAATCATGCTTCACGTACATTCATATATTCCGAACTGATATCTGATCTCTGTCTCTCAATGAATAATAAATGATACAAACAGACTGAAATCAATCGTCTCGCCTTCAATCGTTTTTTTACATTTACTAATAATCATAATAAATACAGGCGTTTTCGATATTTGTAATGCTTGGTCGAAGGCTTGCAATAAACGCACAACCGGTCTGTCTTTAGCAAGCTGATATACAATCTCATACCGCGCTTGTGTCGAGGAATGTCTGGTATTTCGGCAAATTCAACCATGACAATTCAAAAAAATGAATTCGTGTCTCGGCATTGAAATATTTAGAAATTGTTTATTTATAGTTTCACCACTGTATTTATTCCCTGTAACACGCCGTATCTAGTGATTCGTAGAATGATACATTTGCAGTGTAATTTAAATTTTACAATCTCCCAGAATCATAGTCATTCAGTTTTTGAGACAAGTTGAGCGTACGAGAAGCGAAGTTTATTTATAGCACTTATGTCATAGCAAGTTATCGAGAGATTAATTAACAATAATAATTATTGTGCTATTTCAGTAATATTAATGATGAATTCTCTAACACGCCCCCGCATTGCTTCTATCGTCATCAACGAGATATGATAATTTTCTTTCGCTTTGCTGTTGACGGCTGGCGACATAAAGTAAAGATAGTTATTTAATCTAGTGATATTGAGTTACACAGACAAAATTGTGCAGAAACAGTATCATACTATAGCATACCGAGTAGAAGCAGTACCGAGTATTTATCGCTCTGTTTTCAATAAAAGTGGGACGCGCATATGCAGTTTCTCGGTTTCGTATCAAAATCAGTATATTATCTAATAATGAAGTACCGCTAAATGAAATGTAACTCATCAATAAAGTGATGTTGTCGATTATCTGCAACGTAATGACTGCCAATAACCCGAGTTCGTATCGTTTCCTACTAATATAGTAAGCGCCACTGCGTTGCGAGAAAAATCGCGGTAGATTGAGAAATGATAAGAGAGTGATTTGCTCAATAACGAGATTGTTTGCCGAGTTTATGAACATGTCTCATTTAATGTATGATTATTTGTTAGAAAAGAAAGTATGACTTTCATGGCAAATGGTACCCAAATATGATACGAATTACGACATATAGATTAACTTAATTTTATATTATATCCAGATCAAAATTGACTATAAAATGTCGTTTTTTGTCTACAAATCAACTCTTAAAAGTTGTCCTGATTATTTATTAAGCTAAATGAGACTAATTGTTATAATCTAAAACACTACCAAAAGTAATCCTACATTTCGTGCGTGAATTAAATAATATTTTTTAAAATAATTGCTACACATGAAATATTCAGCCATTTGAAATGAGTTTTTATCAAATAATGAAGACGCTATAGTCCTACTGTCGAGAACAGTTGGCCTTGGAGCTGATCATCGTTATTCTGTTAGGCTTTCGCCCTTGAGATATCAGCGTACAGTAGGATACTCAAAATATTTTTGTGTCAGCAGTTTTGTGGCATATTGTTTAATTTGAATAATACTTTAGTAATTATGTGTTTTCATACTATTTATAGATGTTGCAAGATTACAAGGAGACATAAATGTCACTTTATAAATCAATGAATAATATCGACTCAGAGTTATAAAAAAGGTGGTAAGCAAAAAGCATAATATAAATATAATGTCCAGGTGGGTGAATCTACTTATCAATATTATTATCTTTAAATGATTTTATAACGTTTATTTTACAGGATGTTTTTGCGTATTATATATATTTTCTAACCAAGCTTAAAACTTTTTCCAGGTTTTAATTTTTTTCATAATTGTTATATTTTGATCAAATTTTGTATTTCAGGTATAACATAACTTTTTCTGTTTTTCAGGATAAATTCATTTTTTACTTTTCAGGGCACTAACAATTTTTCTTCTAACCAATATTTTTTTTTTCTACCTAAAAATATGCCGAGCACCATTTATTGTTTGTTAAAATTATTACTTTTCGTTTATTATATATAGTCATTAATTTCCTCTATAAATACAATAATCTAATTATAAATCATCATAGGCTTGTGAACAACAGTTGGAATTCCAGCCCTGGCAGCCATGGGGAGAATGTTCTGTAACATGCGGGGGAGGAGAGTCTGTTCGTCGTCGAGTGTGCAAACAAGGACAAAATCAATGCACAGGAGTGGCAATGGAAACGAGAATATGTGCTTCACAAGTATGGATTGATATTTTTATTCATTGCTACTACGTTTGTAATTGAGACAGGTTCAAATTCCGGCTGATCCAAATTATTCCCCAACCAATTCGATTAGATAAATTGCTAAGTGAATGCAAAATAGTAATTGGGTTGAAAGAGATAATAATACCTAATAAAGCAATGCAAAACAATTTACATCTTCCTAAACAAACACAAGAATATCGGAGCTACAATTTACTCTTAAAACAGAATTGTTGATGTAATAAATATATTTGATATTTTATCCGACGTTTTACATTTCGCTTTTGATCTGACCTCTTCATTGCACTTAAAATATCCTATTTTCCTACTTCAATATTTATTTGATGTAATAATATGAATAATTGTGTGATATTATTGGAAATGATTGTGAAATTCCCATACTCTTTTGCGATTGGCATCGGGATTCTGAATCAAAATATTCTCCTTTTTCCTTTTGTCGATTCCCTCATTAGTATTAGTCAAGTAAGAAAATATTGATCAAACAAGTAAAATACGGTGTCTTTTTCTAATTTTCTCAAACAAATTTTAATTAGCTCTGTCCGGTCTGGGCCAATTGGGGAATGTGGGGAAGATGCACCGCGTCATGCGGATATGGAGTTGTATTACGACAAAGGAAATGTGTCAGTGCCTACAATCCGACCATTACTGCAAATGGTTGCTCAGACTCCCAATTTGTCCAATGGGCCAGGTGCCACGCTGGAGTGAGTCTTGTACAATTGGGGGCATGTTCACCTCATGATCATGATGTCATCATGAAATAAATAAAAAACTATTCATAAGCCATAACAAAATGCTATAACTAATACATGCATGTGATCAACACCTAACAACTTTGCTCTCAATGCTGTTCATATTCTTTATCATTGGCGCCACAAATAATATTTTTATCAGCTTGGTAGATTATTACTGCATTTATTCTATCGGCTGCTGTAGCGTATAACCATGCCTAAGTGCTTCGTATGTTCGTCACGAATGAAAACGACAGAAAAACCGACTTTTATATCTCTATGCTTTTTACTTCAACAAGTGCCTTGTTTGCAGCTTGTATCTAAAGTTTGATTCTCTGTTGGTCTCATATCTGACGGCATTAGTTTCATTAATATACAAGAATATTTAAACCTTCACAAGCATTTTTCATACCAACACAAAACTATACAACATTTCGATATCCTTTAATTGCTTTTCATTCGCCATGTATATTGCATCTTTTTAAATTTTTAACTTGTTCAGTATTATAACAATTATTTCACATTTACAGAAATGCCCAGATTGGTCTGAGTGGTCAGACTGGTCAGAATGTAGTGTGTCCTGTGGTGACGGACAACAATCACGAGATCGCAGATGTGTGAACGGAATGACTGATAAAGATTGTGAAGGGGCACCTAAAGAATTGAGGAATTGCTCAATGAAAGTAGGTTTCTCTCTCAGATACGCAAAATCAGTGTAATTTTTATATTTTTTTTTTCGTGACTAGGATACGTTGTTCTAGTTATATATAAACTGAAATTCAATAGTCATGTATACTTGATTGTTTTAGAATTGTGAAATTTTCTGGACTGAATGGGGAGCATGGTCGCAATGTAGTGTTAGTTGTGGTGGGGGAATAACGATCAGATCAAGAACGTGCGGTGAAGATGATCATGGTGATGATGACCACGAAGATGGATGTATGGGTGATGAAACAGAAACATTGCCATGCAAATCAGAAGTAAACTTATATTTTACCTCATTATTATGAACGATAAATATTCGTTTAGTTGGATAATAGGTGACAATGAATAAAATTTTGTGATTGTTAGATCAAACATGTCAAAAACAATACTGGTTTATCCATGTTTATTTGAGAAGGAGCTACTGAACGTAGTATAATTGTAACATGAACATCTATGCATTGTAATATATCAACTTATGTTCAGGCATGTCCAAAATGGTCAGAGTGGTCATTGTGGTCAGATTGTGACGTCACATGTGGAGACGGTAACCGAGCAAGAAGTAGAATATGTGAACATGGGGGAACTGCTGGAATTGATTGCATTGGTTCAGCGGTTGATTTCGAAGCATGCTTCCAAAAAGTAAGTCCGATTATTTGATTGTTTTCATTGATTATTATAAAAGTAATTTGAGGATTTATTTTAGGTTTTTTCAATAATTACAACACTTTCTAAAATTCACTCACTCTAAATAAATACTTTCTATTCGCAAATCTTTGTCTGATTCATATCTCATCACACTCCCACGTAACAACATTTATTGGATGGGCTTATGCGTGTAAAAAGGAGACTGATTTTAAAACCAATTTTGCCCTTTTTATTGCAGTGTACCGTCTCATGGAATGAATGGGGTGAATGGTCTTTATGTGACGTCACGTGTGGTGGGGGAGAAATGCTTCGCTTCAGAACTTGCAACGGTGGTACTGCCGGCGTTGAGTGTGAGGGCGACCCAGTGGAAAATCAAGTTTGCAACATTTTGGTAAGCAAACTAAATATGTTTTATAATATATATTCACAATGCACTCATGCAAAGGCTGATCTAGTTACGATTTAATAGATCGCTCCATATCAAACCATACAAAAATCTCTTGATTTGAATTAACACAATCCCGAGCTTTGTAAACTAATATTTTGTAAAACGCAGCAACGATTTCGTAACACACATTGTTTCGCCATGCAATGCATGCCAAGCCAACGGCTTTATATACAGTATACGAGAAGATTTACGTCACAGATAATACCGGTAAGCTGCACCGGTGAGTAGAGGCGAGAAAGGCACGCGCTTCCACCGTATCTTCATGAAAAGTTATTTATGAATGTTATAATAATTGCGTAATACGATGCAGCATACAGCTGAACCATTGAGTGCTCAATTGCTCATCATGAGAACGACGTCACCTGGATAACTACAATCAGATTACGATAACATACGATCAGATAACTACAGATCAGAATTAGTGTTTGCATGATGATTAAAGTGAGAATCTGCGAAGTCCATTCTCGAATGAATCAAAAAGATAACTGTACCAAAAGTGTTAAAAAAGTCACAAAATTATTTCACAGAAATGTCCAACTTGGACCGAGTATGGCGATTGGTCGGAGTGCAGTGCCTCTTGTGGAGCAGGAGAGAGAATCCGCGTGAGAGATTGCAATGGCGGTATTGCTGGAGTTGACTGTGAAGGTGAATCATTAGATGGTGAAGATTGTACAATAAAGGTATGTAAATTTCATTAATTCACCAGCACCCTCACATTTGCAGATACTTTTTAATAGGAGGAGCATGAAATTTCCAACACTCGTACGCCTAAAACAATTGATTTTTTCATTGTATCACCACAACTAAAAAATAATTTTATTTTTCACTAAGTAAGTTTTATTTTTATAGGAATGCGCTTCTTGGACCGAGTATGGCGATTGGTCGGAATGCAGTGCCTCTTGCGGAGCAGGAAAAAGAATCCGCTTGAGAGACTGCAGTGGGGGTATTGCTGGAGTTGACTGTGAAGGTGAATCATTAGAAGGTGAAGATTGTACAATAAAGGTATGTAAATTTCTTTAATATATCACCACACTTACATTTGCACATTCTTTTTGATATAAAGAGCATGAAATCCCCAACACTGGTATGCCTAAAACCATTGATTTTTTCATCTTTTCACCACAACTAAAATTATTCCTTCTCACTATTCACTGAGTAAGTTTTATTTTTACAGAAATGTGCTTCTTGGACCCAGTATGGTGATTGGTCAGAATGCAGCGCTTCTTGTGGCGAAGGCGAGCAGATTCGAATAAGAATGTGCACAAACGGACAGGGTGGTGTCGATTGTGTTGGTGACGATATGCAGACTCAAATATGTAACATACGGGTGAGTAGCTGGCCTTGACTTGAAGTTTGCCAAAAAGTAAACAACTAACAACATGCTGAAGCCGTTCTTGTGTAAAATTATACGGAAGTAGCATCACAATTCTTAATTCCAAATTACTGAAATCGTATTTATAAAATTATTTACATCTGCGTTCCATTATGCTCTTGATTATTAAGCCGAATTAGAACTTAACAGAACTATGTAAATTCGGCTCTCAAACCATAATGAGTTCTTAGACAGACACAAGTTTACATGTTGAATATTCATTTTACTATTCAGTTTTACAAATACAAAATATTTGATTGTCACAGGAATGCATCACATGGACACAATGGGGAGAATGGTCTGATTGTAGCTCTACCTGTGGAGATGGAGAGGCAATAAGAGTTCGTACATGTACTGATGGCATAGCTGGTGTTGACTGTGTTGGCGATGCCATGGAAACTAAAAACTGCAACGAAAGGGTTAGTAGACTTAAGTAGCCTATTGTTGATTGAGCAAATTTACAATTGTTTGGCGTTCGCAATCACATGTATGCCTAGTTTAGTGTTATTTTGTTTGCAGATATGATACTGGCTAGAATCAAATTATTTGGGTATCTGATTTTTCTTTGGACAAATCTTTGACTAACGTCAACAATAATTCTGAATTAGATTGATTTGCGATTTATCTATCTACTATTCTCAAATTTCCATCTTCGGTTCTGCCGATACAATAGCTAGTTTAATATTATCATTCCTGAATAATATTTTTAGAAATGCATTTTTGCCGTCATTTCTTGGGCAAATTGGATGCAATGGTCAGACTGTGATGCAACATGTGGCTTTGCAGAAAGAGTGAGGTTGCGATCATGCGAAGGCGGAAAACCTGGAATTGACTGTGCTGGAGAAGATGTTGATTCGGAACAATGTGCTTTATTGGTATGATTTCAAAACTCATCTACCTCGCAGTCGAATGGGACGATATTCAAAAAAAAATTTAATAGGTGCAACGTATCAGCCACCCGCGCAGCAACTAATTTTCTTAGACATTTAATCATTTTAACTTGCACAATTGCCTAAAACAATTTCCAGTTATTTCCAGAGTTACAAAACAAACCATTGGGAAAACCCGTTTTCATTTTCTATTATAAATTTTTTTTATCCTGCCAATTATTCTACCTTCCATTTCCAACTATTGCCAATCATTTTTGGGTTTTCATTATATCCGTTTCCCATTATTTGCGAATTTCTTTTTGTCGCAGGCTTGTCCTTTCTGGGACGAATGGACCACGTGGTCCGAATGCAGTGCTACATGTGGCAACGGGGATCGATTCAGAGAACGTGAATGCTTGAATGGAGATGTAGGAGTAGATTGTTTTGGATCTGATTTTGAAACTGAATCCTGTAACAACGGGGTAAGTGATTACACTTTTATTACCAAAAAAATAATGCTAATCAACAATACAATAATTTTAATTCAATTCTGTTTTAACAATAATGGTGGTAAATATTTTTCTTCTCATTTAGGAATGTTCTCGATGGGGAGAATACACACCCTGGTCTGTATGCAGTGTAACGTGCGGTACTGGTGTAGTCATGAGGACGAGGCTATGTGTTCGCGGTAGCACTGGAGATGATTGTATCGGAGATCCGCAAGAAATACAATCATGTGAAAAAGAGGTAATAGAATAATTGATTTATTTTATAACAGACAATGTGGTATCCACAAAAGTAAAATTATAATAAAATGGTACCGTTTACGCTATTTCTCTGACGGCCAAGCACTGTCAATGGAATTTAAAAACTTCGTTAGCACTTATCTTTAAAACAAAAATTATGGGAAACATATCTCTCTATTAATATTATATTATGCTATTGCAGGTGTGTGAGACTGGAGAGTGGGGACCATGGCAACAGTGGTCTATATGTTCGGCTACGTGCGGTGGTGGAGAAAGAAACAGATTCAGAGTTTGCGTAGGAGGAATGGCTGGATCTGGCGGGTGTCCAGGACCTGATTCAGAAATTGGAATATGTGGAGAATCTGTAAGTATAGTTTATTAACTTTATTCTTATTTTACGTGTACAACATTATACGCATTTTTTTATTATTTTCAAATGATTTCCAATAACAGAGACCGTAATTTATATAAACCATAGTTGACTCGTTTTTGCGCGTTTTTTCCTAAAAGACTTTATTCAAACAAGCACTGTTAACCAATACTGTTTGTAACATTTAGGAATTTGATGATTGTCCCAAATGGAGTAGTTGGTCAACATGGTCTGAATGCAGCAGTACATGCGGCGGGGGACAAAAAAGGCATACAAGAATATGCATCAATGGAGATGTAGGAGAAGGATGTGGCGATGGACCTACTTCCGAAGAAATGGATTGTAATTCACAGGTACAGTCTTGGTATTTTTCCTTTAAGTAATATTCAAGAACATATTTCACAGGAAAGTTGAAGCGGTCATTCTTACATTATTTTTTTCATTTCTAGCAATGTCCCATCTGGGGAGTTTGGACATCATGGAGTGGATGCAGTAAATCATGTGATGGTGGCTTGAGAGAAAGATCACGTGAATGTATCAACGGATTTCCCGGCGACATAGGATGTGATGAAACTGACGGTGTCGGGGAGTTTGCTAATCAAATCTGCAATCCACAGGTACGAACTGTCTCAAATTAGAATTGTGATTTTCAGCAAATTTAAAATAAATTATCTATACGCTGTCATTAATTGTTACCCTATTTTGGAGCTCAATTCATAAATAAATTACAGTTTTATTTTTCATCTTTGATATTTTTTCTATTCGTTTTGCTACTCCAGGTCTGTCCAAGATTTGGTCCCTGGAGTGCATGGAGTGCTTGCAATGGCACATGTGGCGAGCCCGGTATTCGAATCCACACAAGAGAGTGCGTTGGAGGAGAAGTTGGTCAGCTAGGATGCGAGGGACCAGTCAGCGAAGACCAAGATTGCGAAGGCTCACCATGTCCATTCTGGTCACCTTGGGACGGATGGGGCAGCTGCACAAAACCTTGCGGTGCTGGAGTGAGATCGCGTGGAAGACTTTGTGTTCACGGCAATCCAGGTGAATCTGGCTGCCAAGGTCCCGATAGTCAGACTGAAGTTTGTAATCAAGAGGTAAGAGCTTGAAATACATTTAGTTGATATACAAAATTTAAACCAAACAAAAATATACAATTGTTTTATTATTTAGACTTGTTCCTACTGGTCGAAATGGGGTGAGTGGGGAGCATGCTCAAGAACTTGCGGGGAAGCAGAAAGATTTAGAATTCGACTCTGCATCAATGGAGAAATCGGAGAAGCTGGATGTGACATAGGAAGTTCGACAGAAGTTGCGGACTGTCCTTTCATTGATTGCAACGGTAATATCAATATTACTTTATAAGATAATCATAATATATAGTAATATAGCAATCATATCAGACATTTAACTCTATGTTTTTCTACAGCTTGTACTCCCAACCTGGAATTACAAGGTATAAGCAATGGTTTCGTGGCGTGTACTCTCAGTACCCAGATTGGATCTATCTGCACATTCTCATGTGAAGATAATTACCAATTGGTTGGAATCGATAGCTCAACATGTGAAGAAAAATCTCAGAACGTTGCAGAGTGGTCGGTTGGACCACCCACGTGTACAGGTAAGAATGTTGTATAGTTGGATATTATATTTTTTCTGTCCATTTAGATTTAGTGAGATTGAGTTATGATTGTGTATTTTAATAAAAATGCGTAGTAGCAATTTCATAATAATTTTAATATTTTAGTATTTGGAAATATTGGCAATACTCATCATTCTCCATATTATGCTATCAAACATTACTCTCAAAGAATTCACTTCATTACCACAGCACATACTGTTTAACTTTCGCTTTTATGCCTTGGCCTATATAGTATAGATAGTTTGGTGTAGTTCAAAACACATCAAACATTTATCCAATGACCATTCGATGGATGTTTTCTAGAATTTGCTAATTTATCTTTATTTTTTATTTCAGAACGTTGCAGTGATGAAACGGATATTGTTTTCGTTATCGATAGTTCTTCCAGTATTAAAGAACAGAATTTCAAAGTGATTAGAAGTTTCATTAAACAAGTTGTCAGAAGATTCCGAATCGGACAAAACGCAGCTTTGGTAAGACTTTAGCTTCTTAAAATTTCATTCACTCGTTAACTCAATATAAAATAATAAGCCCTAACTAAAAGCAAAGATACTTACAAAAGGAAGCGAATACTAACGCAATAAAAGCTAGGCTTACGTTTATACCTTAATATTTTATTATCAAATACTATGATATACATTCTGCTTTTAATATTTACAATGTCAAAATAATCAAAAGTAATACTTTATTGTGTTTGTCAACATCAGGTCGGCGCGCTGAGATACAATAAAGAAGTTTCCAAACTTTGGGATCTGAATTCGTATAGAACATTGGATGAGGTGTTGAATGCAATTGATAATATTCCTTATGATGGATCCGGCACAATGACTGGACAGGCCATCCAATATGCTCACGATCACATGTTCAAAGCTGAAGCTGGCAGACGACCTGGAGTTCCTAAAGTGGTTGTTGTCATTACTGATGGTAAGTCAGTATCGAATTTATATACATTTATAATGTACCAGGGTTTAAATTGTTCGACTTCTTTTTCAGTTCTTCATTGTTCTGCCATGCCCAAAAATTCAAACATGGTCTATTTTTTCTCAGTATTTTTGGTATTTTTGGTTAGTATAGTAAAACAAATGTACAACCTTTCCCTTTATTCTCAGGTGTTTCATTTGATGATGTAAGCCAATCGTCCACTTTGCTGAAAAGCGAAGGTGCACTCATTGTTGCAGTGGGCATTGGCAATGTGAATATTGATGAAATAAACGATATTGCTTCCGATCCTGATCGACATTTTGCAACCACTGTTTCCGATTTCGATTCCCTGCCTAAAGTTGTCTCTACTATCGCGGATCAAGTCAAATTATGTCAGGTATGAAAACAAAACTCTTATATATATATATACAGATATACAACTAAAAATACATAATAAAAGAGTTAAGTGGGTCCAAATTAGATATATTAAACAAATATATGGTAATTCAGAGGAATTACGAGAAAATTGTCGCCAAAATTTTGAGTTTTAGAGTCTTTCCTAATGAAGTGTTGTCATTACAAAATGGTTGAATAGTGAACACATAAAATAATGTTCAACTTTTGCTTCTTTTATATAAAAGATGTTGGTTGAAATATTTTGAAATGCTGCAGCTTTTTTTAATCTGAGCAGAAACCAAAGCCAAGAATTGTGTGGTGAACACGGAGAGAGATAAACGTCGTACTCTCAAAAAATACATGACAACGTTCACATCATCATCTGACGTTAGGTCATGCATGGTTGACTTGTCGATCACGTCATCATATCATATGAGATCACGCTTACAGAAGAGTTGTCTGGAGCAATCAAATAAATGCATGTCATGAACACTTTCATATGCATCCAAATCTGTGCAATATTTTTCATTCCTTGTACTCACACAACTAACCCATTCCATAGTTTTATATAAAATTCAATTTTATTTCATTATTCTACTAACAACAATACTAACAGAAGGTGAATTTTGAAATATAAAATTTAATTTCCTGTGTTGTTCATTCATTCATGCTCACGACGAGTAAGAGAGTCTAATGATCACCAGTTTCCATCTAACATGTCAAGGTTACATTTGAGAGAAGCAGTATGATTGGTTTAACGACTATGGATATTAAAGAAGTGGGCGGTTTGATCCCACTAAATACGAATTCGAGTTATTTTTATCACATATTAATTATGCCAGATACCAATATACGAGACATAACTACTACAAAAATGCTTTGTATATGATTCGTTGTCAGTCTAAAATGTAGTTCCACAACAAGGGTTAAAAAATTATTGATTCGGCCATATAATGAAGTGAAATATTCGAGCAAATAATAAAATGAAAATATTTACAATGATCAAAATTTACCGCCCATTCTAACTGCAAAGGCAGATGAAACAATATCAATACAGTGAAAATGAACAATAAAATATAACTATAAAAAGGGGTGTGTCTCAAGATTTTCTCCTCAGCACTTTCGTAGTAGAGGAATATGGACAATTCAAACAGAACTTAGCAGTCTTGTTTAACTCATCTTCATTCGCGGGAACTAAATGCTGTTCACTAAATAAAAGAAGGTATATAAATGTTACACAACAAATTCAAGCATACTTTTGTGATGAATAAGTCAAATATATCCCTATTATAATCTACGACAGACAGTCATACTACAAAAGCTGTTGTACAAATTTTTGATATTATTCACAACAATGCAAATAAATTCAATGTTGCATGGTTTTAATACTGATGCATTACAAAAAGCCTATTTCATAACGCGGGATATGACACAACTAAATCTTGCCATAGTTTAGAGACTTCGAGGTGGTCTATTTATGCGCCACGAACGACTAAAAATAGAAAGACTTGAAATTTAGAGATATTTAGCTCGATGACGAACGCTAAAACACTTGAAAATCTTTACATCTTTCATATTACAGCCGATTGAAATTCCATTGAATTGCCCTCCTCAAGCGCTCATTGATCTTGTGTTCATCGTCGATAGCTCCAGCAGCATCGGATTACAAAATTTCGAGACTATCAGAAAGTTCATCAAAGATATTATTATTGAGTTCAATGTTGGTTATGACTCCGCCATGGTAAGTTCAATATATTATTACACGTAACCGTATAAAGCGAAACTTCTAGTTTTACCGATAACGATATATGGGAGAAAGAGAATGTTTTAACCATTCTTGAGATACATGTGCCGACGAATGATATGATTATGGCAAGCCTAAATAGTTTAATATGACAAACGAAAAAACATCTAAGTTAACACGAAGATATATTTCATCAGTTTCCAGCTGTGTTTCGTTCAGTAACAATTTTGTTTTCAAATAATTTTTTTCTTCTAGTGCGTAAATTTTTATCTAATGTATGCTTTTCGATTAAATATTATATTTATAAATTGATAATTTTTCTTTAAGTTCGGACTCATCATGTTTAACCGTGATGTGAATGAAGTTTTCCAGCTCCAGGATTACGACGAAAAGTCCGAAGTAATTGAAGGTACGTGGTTTTTTGAGACACCTAATATTAAACTGTATCCTAACTGAATACTTTCTTTATTACCTCTAGCTAATTAGACAAGCATTCATCAGCTAAAATATTTGTTATTTGCCCCTTTGTTTGCACTATTATAAATATATTTCCTATTCTAATTTCAGCTATCGATGGATTGCCGTATAGTGGTTCCGGTACAAGAACAGGCAAAGCGCTGATGTATGCTGCTGCGAATTCCTTCCTTGAATCCGCTGGAGGGCGCCCCGGAATTCCAAAAGTATCGATTGTGATCACTGACGGTAAGATAGTCAATTCTTCCGTAGGACTGGCATACAATATCGAAAAATTGATTTGATTTTACTTCAATTGACCCAGAACTGAATGAGAACTTATCAAGTTTTTACAGTATTTTTTGAAAGTGTTTTTGTGAAAAAATTCCAGCTATAGTAACAAAATAGATATAAATCGAGGAATAAAATAAACATCAAATTTCTTGTTTTTCATTTTGGGTTTCAAATTGGAATGGATTGGACAAAACATATTAAACAATTCTGGTTATTGAAATTTATAAAATTGTTTGGGACGTAACGTGCATACCGTGTGTTCATATTAGCTTCCTCAGTTGTTATCGTAGTACAGGTGGAAGGCACGTCATGCTATTTGGCAATCAGACATTGATATATATTATATTTTATTTATTTATTCAATGTTAAAATTCGTCTTAGGCGAACGTAGTTTTCGTATGAATAAGATTCGTTTTGTTATTTCATTTCGACCATACCATTCCATAATAGGCTAAAAAATTAATTTACTTTAACCCTGCTAAAACGCTTAAAAACAGTGAAAAACCGTCAAAATACACCAATAACCCTGCTAAAACGCTTAAATCTATTTTTTTAGGAAAATCTCAAGACGATGTTCAGAGTGGTGCAGTCCAGTTGAAGCAGAAAGCAAATGTAATTGTGATCGGTATAGAAGGGGCAGTGAAAACTGAATTAAACCAGATTGCTTCATACTCATCCAACGTCTTTACTACGCGATTTGAAACTCTGGGAGAAGTGATGGATCAACTCAAAATGGCAGTCTGTTTCGCCAGTCGTGCTGGGATGATGGTTGTAGAAGAATGATTTGAACATAATTTATACAAAAAATATTGTTTTGGTCATGTTTGATCACGAAAACTATAAGATATTCTATTGCATGGAAATGGCGAAATTCATCTTAATTTTCAAGCATTTTATTCGTGCTGACTGATGCATCATTTAATTTTATTCGCTACAACTAACTATATCATTTTTGTATATCTAGATTTTTAAATCAGTAATTAAGGATAATAAAAATCGTGATTTTTTCATCATTTAAAATTTTCTTTTTCATGTTTTCAATCATTGCTAAATTTCATTTAATATTTACATCCACTCTATAGCATTATATTAACATTGTAATATAAATCGTCTTAAAATACAAAATAAAGGATATCCTAAAATGCCGTTTTTGAATGTTAGAACATCCAATGGCGCTATAGATTATCTACATTTTCAAGTTTTGATTAACATCGATCAACACAGTTTATCTGTACCTATTGTTGATTGGTGTCAAGTACAGATCCTCGAATTCTGTACGATAATAGCATAAAGCTGAAAAAACTTTCCGAACAGTTTTTTTTAAACAATTACTATAATACAAGAAGCGGAGAATTGAGGAAATATTGTCCAGGAAGTAGTATTTGAGTAACTTGAGTTACAAAAAAAGTAAAATAAGACATTATTGATATATAAAGTGAGTGCTTGCTAAGCCTAATAAAATTAAAATGCTTTTGCCAGCATTTACTCTATTGCAGTCTATAGCCGTGCTTCATTTTCTCCCATAGCGAGAATTAGTTAAATGAAACTCAAGTCGACTTCGTGATAGCGGCCAATGCCCCCACTCTTATCACTGCTACTTCTTTTCTGCATGATTTTTATTTATCACAATGTGATTAATTCACAAAAAATGACTATAGGAGCATTTGACAGCGTCAAATAACGAAGTGGCTTGGCGGAGCAGTTAGTAAAGCGAGATACGCTCGTCTGATACGGGCAAGCTTAACGACGAAGATGAAAAACACCTCTCACGAAGTCGAAGGTCTTTCATGTTCAATAGCAAACCCATTTGTGCCCATCTTCAATATTTACAATCAATGAAAGTCGGCCTCTGTAATGCTTTACAGTCCGATTTGATGAAAAATGTAAATATGGTGATTGGTATTTCTACTTGTCATAACAGCAGAATTTACTTTGAATTTTGAAGATTTAATCGACGATAATAGGTGGTGTATGAATGAGATATAGGGGAAGAGGTGCTTACGAAAAAAAACGATAAATTATGTTTTATTCGCCATAAAATGTTTCATTTAGGCTATGAAATTCAAACTTACAAATAATCTATTTTGAAAACAAATCTACTTAAGAATCAAAAGGAGTACTTGTTGTGATAAGGATAGTTATTTGTGACATAAATGAGACATAAAAAAAAAAAAGAATGTCATGCTTCACAACGCACCTTCTATACACAGATTGCTGTTGCCGATAAAATATGATGTTACCACTTAATTGTCGCCGGTCTCAATGACGTAATGGATTGCAAAGAAAGAAAGCAATGTGCCCTGTCTGACATTCCGCTTCCAAGTTAAGTAGAAACACACACACACATGCAGGGACTGTGCGTTTGTGGCGTTTTTTGATAGATTTACATCCCTCATAAATCTTCCATGAAGCACTCAGTTTGTATTATTACTTTTCTGTGTGAATACAGAACTCACACACTGGGCTCCCGTAATACAAACTGTTGTTGTGAAAATAATTTTTACTGTAATTTGCTTGGTGAAGATTACGAATATCCAAAAATTTCATCCCAGAACCTTATCAATTTACGCACAAATAAACCCACTACAAAAGTAAATGTTGGAATTTAAATTACATTTAAATACGTTACCTGCGAAAAAATGCGACAAACTCATCTTTATTATACGACATGATAAACATTAAATATCACTAAGCTGAATGAATCACTAAAGGCTCAACAAAATAAAATAATGAATGTAATAATAAAGTGAAGTTCAGTAACTGAATCAGTAATCAGTCCACAAAGAATAATTAGAGATTCAGCAAGTGAATGAGAGATAGGGGTTGATAATCCGAAAAGGGATTTCGAACTACTGAATTATAGGACGGTGGAAACAGAATACTTAAAATCATATTATTTATCCAATTCTACATCAAGTCTCCAGAAAACAGTAAATGATACGTGCACACATCAAAGGTTGTCTTTCCATGTAATGAATTTTAGTGCATGACCAACAAATCGTGACCTATGAGTACATAAATAATTTTTTTCTAGCAACCGTGACAACGCTTTCGTATTCGTGTGAAACTTGCTATCATGTCAATTTATAAATAACAACGATTAAACCGCCTGACACGCCTTGTTTTGGTTCCAATGGCCAAGCGATTTTTGAGATAAATAAAATTCAGACACATCTGTAAACTATTAGAACAGTTTACCGCCGTACCCTGTGGTTATAAAAAGAAGTCTAATGTCATACTCTGGATTTGGTCTTTTGAGTTTTTATTCGAATTTATTAAAGTCATTATGAACTTTTTCAAACTTACTTAGTTTTAGTCATTTTTTTCTCTTTTATTTTTTCTCCAGATGGCTTAAATAAGAACTGACTCGACATATTGAATTGAATATTGTCGCAAACCACAACGACATATTTTCTAGATTTTTGCAGGCGTAATTTAGGTACATCGCGTTTTCGGTTTTTCAAAAGTGAACAGCATTATAGAAATTTACAACATATCGTTTAATACGATGGTTTAATAAATTTACAGAATATTCCAAGCATTTACATCTCAATTACATGAATGTTTTGGTAGTGCAATACGGTTATCGAGACAATCGCTTTGAGTTGATATCATTTTGATAATTTGAAAATATTTTTGTTTTCAAAGGCATTTGAGTTGTATTATCTTTATTCAGTTTCTCAGTAAGCAATAAGTAATGGATGACAAATCAGTGGAATTGAAAGTCGGTAATGGAAAAATTGATGATGATACTGTAGAATCAAATATTGACATCTCGACTAATGATGGAATATCTACAGAAGATAAGAAGAACGACACTCTCAATACAAATTTACTATATCGAGTTGACGAATCTCCACCCTGGTACATAGCAATGGTATTCGGGTTTCAAGTAAGATTGATTTTAATAGAACAACAACAATATCAGTATGAATTCCAAACAGTATTATTTTTATTAATAATTGTATTGATCATTTTTTGTCTACAACTGAAGAACGTTATTCCAAGACGATTAAAATCATTTCGTAGCTTTTCCGATTTATAATTTATAGTTTCCTTCGAATCAAGTTTTTATCGATTTCACACTGAAGAGATTTAAAACTTGTTTGTCACCAATGTTTTGAAAAAATTCAGGCAAACCGTATCTCCTTCATATGTTTTTTCTCAGACAACAATTAGTATCATACATTTCATACACGTGATCCACAATCCATCAGATGAGTACGGTTTGAGGATACAAAATTGTGTTCACATTTTGCGTATCCATATTTTCGACAAAATAATTACCAAACTAACGAATTACTGCAGTATTATGTTAAATATTTTTCGAACTTTGCGTGTCAGCTATGAAAATTTACAGGGCACACATAGGTAAATAATAATTTTTTTGATATGCATATGATTCAGTTAGGATCTTTTTGATGTTATGCAATATGTGAGATGTATTTAGTATACAACATTTAGTTAAAAACTACTTTTAAGTACTTTTGACTGGCTTTACAAACTCGCTTTCCAAAACATTGGGAATTGGCAGTTCAACTTGATTACAGCGGTTTCGTCGCGAGTGAAAGTTAAGTATAATTGGCACGCATATACTCGTAAACCACGAACGCCGTCTTTTTATTCTTGAACATTAAGCTTTGAGTTTAATCTCATGTAGTTTAAGAATTTTTTCCGCGCAGAAATCCAATGACATGATGTCAAAAACATCAGATGAACATAATTTTTATATTTATACTGTAAATATGGTATATAATATATTAAAATATTAGTGTTCCATCCCAGTACAGAATTCGTTGAACGTACCTTGAATTTGCAATTTTAAATTATAGGGTAATTCGGTATAATTCGGTAGTTAATTAAGCACGCAAAAAATTTTATTTTAAAATTGCTGCATTTATTTCAAAAAGAAGTTGCAATTTTGTTGTGTGGTGAAATTTGATTTCAAAATAAAAATCATAGTTATCTGCATATATTTCACGATTGAGTTGTTATCGTTTATTTTATTGGAATTAGATCAAACCTCAAGCACTTGTCAGGTAAAATCTCGCGTGAAAACTGCACACCCTTCTTCAGAGGCGTGATAAATTATATATAGGCTTAGCGATACCGAAAAGCTACAGATCATTACAAATTCATAGAGGCTTATAAGTTTTTCTTCTTAGTTAGAATATCGAAATACTTTTTTTTGTTATTGTTCGTAAAATATCGTAATACTGTTGCCCTTATCGTGTCAGCATGACGGGGCTGTTTACCACGAAGTACTTTCAATGAGTATTATTATTCGCTACATACAATCAAGGTATTAGGATAAAGTTGTAGACGTGGGTTAATTAAATGAGATGTTTACGCACGAAAACAACTTTTACACAATATTGGCAACAGACCAATCTGAAGTTCCAATCACGACTTCTGGTCTATTAATTTATAATCTGACTCTGTGCCCGAGGCCAATATTGTCAACTGAAAGTACTTTAATTAAACGGAAATTTGAAAAAAGGTTTTAATATAATTCAAAGAAAAAAAACTTATATAATTCGAAAACTTTTCTAGATAAACTAAATAAACATGTGCCGATTTTTATTCTAATTGAGTTTGGTAAAATTGACCAATTAGTGATTGCAGGCCATGCTTATCAGTAAATGTACTGTCGAAACAAAATTGGATTTCTCATTCAAAATACCCAACACCATAATTTTACATAAAATGATAAAAAAAATTTACAGCTTTATAATTCAACAAATATATTGATAGCCAATATATCAACCAAATATTTTACTTTTTAGCAACTGATGATCTGTTTGAGCATTGTAACTTTTCCATTGATTATCATGTCCATACTCTGCGCCGATGATTCACCATCAGTAAGCGATTACAAAACAGCGCAGATTGGGACTGTTCTCTTCATTGCTGGAACTTCAACATTCGTGCAAACTACGTTTGGTGTGAGGTAACATTTAATATTCACTTTTTCTTGTCTTTAAAAGCGAGACCTTAAAATCGAATCAAAGACATATGGCTGAACCTTCAGTAATTTTAGTATAAGAATACTTTTTTATATATGAAAATTACTTGAAAGAACTTCAGATATATTTTAAAACATTTCTTTGCTTTTGTAATATTTTGTCACCCTTGTGCCCCACTTGTATCACCTGTCTCCTGTTCCAATTGTATGAATGGCACTTCATGTGAATGTTCCAACTTCTTGTTAAAGCACTATATCTATCCTAACACATAACATAGCAGTGATTCCACTCCATACGCTTACATAATTATTTTTCCCACAATATATACCAATACATATAAAAAAAAGTGTTGTAAAAATGGTACAAGTCTGGGGCACGACAATTTTAAGACGCCGCAATATTGCCCGCTGATTAGTTCGGTGCAAACTTGTATGTTGTTGATATTGAAAATGTTTTGTACCTTTAGCCTGTTTCAAAAAATGTATTTACGAGCATGAGGTATTTTAATTAAAGTATTATAGCAAATTAAACACTGCACTATAGGCCTACTGTATTTTGCTTCTGTACGAGCCTACGCTTCGTAATTTTTAATGAGTTTTGGTTTTCCGTTTTTAACGCTGACATTTCTTGTATTTAATTTGACACCTTTATTAATGCTATGTTTAAATTTTTTCTAGTTGGTTCGTCCAAAATTCCTTATTCGCATTTTCCTATTTACGCGCATTTTCGTATTTTTGCGATTGGTTTAACATGAGCGATTAAGTTTGCATACGCACAAAATAACATTATTTTATTTAATCTCATTAAATTTAATCATATTATTAATTGACGTAAGACGTCTGCATTTTTGTTTACTCTAGATTGCCAATAATCCAAGGTACAACTGTATCGTTTATGGTTTCTGCTATAAGCGTCATTGGAACGGACAGATTAAAATGTCCGGCTCCAATGGATTTGAATCCTAACTCAACATATGAAGATTACTCAGTTTCGGTGGATGTAAATTCCAGCAAAATAATTTACGACAATTTGCTGAATAAAACTATCAACGTTGATGTAGATTCAAATTACTATAGAGATAATGATGGAATTATAAGGAATAGTAATGAACTCTGGTTAAAAAGGTTGTATGAGGTAAGTCCACAATAGTTGACTCATTTGTAACGTTAGTTTAACTTGCCACAAAAAGCGTGACAATCTGTTTTTTCCCTTATTAGCAATAGCTCATGAGCTTTCTATTTCATTGTTGCAGATTCAGGGCGGAGTCATCTGCGCATCATTTCTGCAAATAGCTTTAGGAATAACTGGTGCTATGGGATTCTTGCTTCGATTCATTGGGCCTCTCACTATTGCACCTACATTGGCATTAATTTCATACGGAATATTCGACACTGTTAGCAAGTTAGCTAGCGATCAATGGGGAATTGCTTTGTTGTAAGTACAGCATAATATTCTTACGTTGTGTCATCAACAGAATATAGAATATTGCAAACCAATTTAATGTGACTCGTAATTTTAATTGTGTTTGGTGGTATTACGCTTTGGCTAGAATAGACAGCTTAGTCAGAAATTTTAAATTTGTTGAAGTTGCAGAATCTACTAATCTTGGAATGAAGGGTGTATTGCTGTTTGGTATGCCCAGATAACCCTAGAAAAGATTTTAAATCTAGAATATATATCTAATCTGGACAAGACATTGCGTTCATTCATTCATTATATTTTGCTAAATAATATTCATTACAGGATAGTTGCACTTTTCTTTATTTGTGCAATATGTTTGGCGGACGTTAAAGTACCAATTCCATACTGCAGTAGGAAGGGAAGGAAATTTAAAATATCTGTAACTCGGTCACCTATATTTAGCATGTTTCCGGTAAGAACTCGTAATACACTTTTTTTTTCAATTCATAAACAAAAAACAGTATTTATATGTATCCTCGGGCATGTAGATTTGTGATAAGGTGCTTAGTGGAGAACATTTTTTTTTTCTGTTCTAATGCTTTGCATAACTACAGCAGTCTACGATGTAAAATGCGTTAAATTCTAATTTAATTTTTTTTGTTCATGAAGCCGAAGTAATCATTCATTTATATATATATATTCAGATTTTATTCGCAATACTAACGGGATGGTTGATTTGTTATTTGATTACCATTGGTGGCGGATTTTCTGATGATCCAAATGATCCTTCTTATAAAGCTAGAACTGACACCAACTCCGATGCCACTTCAAAAAGTCCGTGGTATGTGAAGATTTCTTCTTGAAGACGCATTGAAAAAATGATTTCATATAAATTAGTATTGCGTATTTCTAGGTTCCGCTTCCCTTATCCGTTTCAATTCGGAATGCCAATCTTCACAGCGAGTACAATTCTAGGAATGATGGCAGCAGTGTTGCCAGGAATATTAGAATCAATTGGAGACTACAATGCAACTTCAGTTGTTTGTGAAGAACCATCTCCACCTAAGCATGCAGTCAATCGGTAATGTACACTATAAGAAATACTAATAACGAATACTGATAATCAAAAATAAAATGACCGTACTATTTTTACTGTTTTCACAGTGGTATATTGATGGAAGGTATAGGAATTCTTTGTTCCGGACTGTGGGGAACTGGTAATGCTACATCTTCTTGGAGCAGCAATCTAGTTGTTCTTGGGATATCGAGAGTTGCGAGCAGAAGGGTGGGTATATCTCAAAGATAATGAAAGAGAGTAGAAAGCGAAACTTTAATTGGACAATGAACTGTAATATAGCATATATTATTACCCGATTTAAATTGTCAAACTCAGCAAAGCCAAGCAAATGTGTCATATTTGATACACGCCCAGAACATTCCATTTTCTCAATGTGAAATGAAATTAACAAAAGACTATGCATTTGGTATAATGAATCTTACTAGAAATTCTTCCCTAATACGTGGCGCCAGTGGCGTCAGGACCTTTAAGTTGGGTCGGTCCAGTGCTTTGTTCAATATTTACAATTCTGTGAAAATTTTTTAAAAAAATCTTCTATGTATATATAGTCGCCTTATGGCTATGGATGTATGTCGGGCGTTGTCGCCATTCAATCCTTTCAAATTTGACACGTTGTGACATCTGCTATCCGAAAAATTGTTGTTTTGAATATGAATGTGCCCAGATTGCCTTTATTTTTTCGACAAACCTAAATTTTACCAAGCAAGTTTAACACTCATATTCCACAATTCGTATAATCGTGTAGTAAGGACCATTGTCGTCCGAAGATTGTACGATGACGCGGTCATGTGTCTGTGGTTTTATACTACCATACTAAGAATCTATGTCTGGATAATTTACAAAATATCATTAACATAATACAATTTATTTTATTTTATCGCAGACGTTCCAATTCACTGGTTTGTTCATGGTTATACTTGGATTGTTTACCAAGTTCTGTAGCATATTTTCAAGTATTCCAAAAGTAGTTATCGGAGGATCAATGTGTGCTACCATCGGAATGATTCTCGCAGTGGGGGTGGCCACTTTAAAGCACGTTGACATGTCTAAAAATAGGTAAGTGATAATAACTTTGAGAAATATTTGTAATTAGATGAAATCTAGTTTAACCATTATTAAAAAGTCGCAGGCAAATAATTATGAACAAAATATACTACAGTACATACTGCATATGCTTGGGTAGGTAGTATCATTTCATCAAACATTTTCAACCTCCGAACTACGTGGTATGTGGAGGGTTGTAAATTCTATCATAATCCAACCACAAAGACGATTAAATGTATATTACAACAAATGAACATGTACTTAGTATAATCCAACCGCAGAAAGGCGTTCATGACATCTTTTAACATAAAAAAAATTCTCTGTTCCAATTAGTAGTTTTTATAATGTATTCATAGTTGCTAATATCATTCTGTAAACATTTGTTTTTCAGAAATCTTTTTATATTTGGATTCAGTATTTTGTTTGGAATCGTTCTGCCAATGTTTGCTACTAAACATGGCGATCGTATTGATGTTGGAATTGACGAGTTAACAAATATTATCGGAGTATTGATTCGTAGTCCGATGTTTATCGGAGGCATTACCGGTTTCATACTTGATAATATTGCTCCAGGTAAGTGTGCAGCAGAGCTGTAAATCCGGACATTCTTTTTAAAGAAGGTGCACGGGTCCGACTGGTACTTGCCAAGCGCGTTAAACGCCATCTAATTGCTTGATTTGATTTTTCACCCTGTGACCATTTCTGCTTCGAAATCTTTAAAGATTTTGGCCCGAGTTCAGTCTTTGATAATTATGTAGATTAAATATCTGGCGTACAATAAGACTTTGGAGTTATATATTAATTATGTTTTTTAAGACTGAGAATATCTTATATTGCCATTCCTGACGAGAAATAATTGATTTTAATTTATGATAACATTTATACTACTATTACCGTTACCTAGTCATCATCGATCGAATAATTATAAATAGTGTATAATTTTCAAATTAATTCAATAATTTTACATTAAAATAGGAACAAGAAAAGAACGAGGACTAGAAACATTTTATGCCAAATATAGTGCTTCATCAGGAGGATCACTTGCAGCTTACCAACTTCCTTTCAGTACCGACTGGAACTGGACAAAATGGATTCCTATCTGTCCAAAATTCGACACTGCTAAACGAAGGTTTTCTACGTCTGCTTAACTAGTACCATATAAGATAATCTGTATGTTATAATTGTGTGCATATATTTCAAGAAATAAAATTATGGATTGGAAAATGAAAAAAAAACGAAAAAAATTAGTACCAAAATGTGCATATTACTATATTTATTAAATATATGAGAAATATACGGTATGAATGTTAAGAATTATTATATAAGCAAAGCATATTAAGCAAACGCAAGCAAATTTAAAAAATCACGAATGAGAAAAAAAGAATTTCTCATTAAGCAATAATTATTCAAATAATAAATTGCTCATGTGAAAATTTGATTTTATCAAAAAGAATTTTAGTTTTAAAACGATTATAGTCTTCAACGGTCTATCACCGGAACCCAAGTTGCCAGAATGTGTTAACTTATCACTGTTGCTTGTAACATCGGACTATTAATATGCATACGTCCAATTCTTGCATTCACAAAACTGTGTAGCGTTAAGAATCCCTATACCGTTCTTTTTTTTCTAAACATCGGGCAAATGGGAAAATATCTTGTCCATTTCCAGTTTGTTTTGAATGGTAGATCGTAGACATCAGCTGCATTCGCATTATCTTCGCATGAAGTGTTAGCGTAGAATGTTTCCAAGCCACGAGATCTTCTGGATCCTAAAATTTGTTTATAAGAACTGAGGAAAGGAGATCGGAGCTAGTAATGGTTTTATTGATTTAAAGTGAGGAGAAAGTTTAAAGTATTCAAAAGCTCGTAATCACATTTGCTTGCGAGCGCAGAATATAAGTATGCGATTGTTTGAAAACACAAATATGCTAGACTAATTATAGTATATATTACCTGGGGCTATATTGTCCAATATGAAACCAGTCATGCCACTCAAAAACATTGGACTACGACAAAGAACTATAAGTGTGTTGTCTAGTTCTCTAATTCCAACTTTAATACTGTCAGGATTTTGAGATACAAATTGACTCATAATCATACCGAAAAATAGGCTGAATCCAAATACAAATAAATTTCTGTAGAAAAACAAAAAATTATTAAAACGATATCAAATTCAATTACATATAAAACTTATTAATTACGTAAAAATTGCTTGACTTATAATTGTTTGAATGGAAAGTAGGATGAGCGTAGGTTGTACCGAACTCGAATTTTTGTTGTTGAAAAAATAGCTGTATGGCCAGGGAAACAAAACCTGTTCAAAGATCATATATATAGAAAAACCGGGATTTTTCTATGCATTCAATAAGTACAGGTTACATCACAAGGATGTAATGCTAATATTTTCATATATATGAATGAGTTTTATCGCTTAACACAGATAATGTTGGTCAATAAACACGTTAGATTTTTGGACACGGTGTGCCATATAATGCCTTATTATCTATTTCACTCCCTCGTGATCCTTCCCCAACTAATTAAAACAAATAAAATCAGTTGATACTGCAAATATGCAATGCAGATGCAGATGTAATGTATTCTAAGATCAGCTCATTTACCTATTCTGGCTCATATCTACATGCTTCAATGTTGAAACACCAATTGCTAAAATCATTCCTGTGGTCGCACACATCATTCCACCGACAACAACTATTGGGAGTGTTGAAAAGATACTCAACAATTTCGAAAACAATCCAAGAAACATCAGCATGAAACCGACATATTGAAAAATCTGAAATGCAGAATTAAAGGCAGTTCAACCTATACTCATTACATACCTAAGTGGTGGCAGTAGATTATTTCAGAATAGAAATATCTCGACTTTCCAACTATATGGGGGTGATTTATGTTAATCAAAATACTGCTACGCACCCTCCTACTTCCGACTCTTGAAATTCCAATTACAATTATATTTTGACTCCAAGATGTCGTTGCATTACCAGTTCCAAACAGCGCAGACAAAAGAACGCCAACTCCTTCCATGGTTATTCCTCTATAAAAAGTATATGTACGTTAAAGAAACAATTTCTAAATAAACTAATAGATCATTTGTACACGCGCATGAATATCCCATGCAATAGATAGGCATATACAGTAAACCCAATTGAGTGGATATGGTACAATGCAGAGTGGATATGGTACAACCGGTCATGCAGAGCGAACGATTCGAAATTAATTATAGTTGATGCCTAAAATTCTTAAATTAGGGAATGATTTAGATAAGTTTCAACAGAAAAATTGAAGTGTCACGGTATTTAAACAAAAATAGGTACCCGTTTTGAGTGTAGGCAATTAGGCATAAAGCACTACCTGATTCATACATTAGACTAGTGGTTTCCAAAGTTGATTGACCGGGGGCCAAAATTAGAAGCGGAAGGATATTCGCGGGCCGGGAGGAGGCGAGCACGCGAGGGCCCTACTCGTATGCAATTCCAATACCGATACGTATAATTAAGATACCGGTATAACTAAATTGTTATTAAAGATACACATGCTTAAAATGATGATATTGACGTAACAACGGCCGTATCTAGAACGCAAAAATGAAGAAAAAAGTGTTAAACTATTTCATTTAAGTTCGACGGGTCATATTAAATCGTTACGCGGGCCGTAATTGGCTCGCGGGCCGGGGTTTGGGAATAGCTACATTAGACGCATCGACTTATAAAACGCACAATCAATTTTTGAGAAAAAAAAAAGAATTTGCAGTGCGCCTCATAGTCCGTAAAATACGGTACGTCGGATTTTCTGGTGACATGACGTTGTATTACAGCCGTGCGTTTCTCAGTGTTGTAAAAAACTTGCTATTTACTGAACCATGGGTTATTAGAGTACATATCATGCCTGTACATATCATTTTGGATGACATCATAATTCCTTTCACATATCATATATGAAACGCATATTATGACGTCATATGAGTTTCACAATGAATTTATCAGAGTACATACCATGCCTGTAACTAAAATTTTGTATGACGTTATATCAGTTTCACAAATCATAGTTCTGGCTCCGCGCCGTGGCGCATCGTGCTAAGCGTTAGAAATACGTTCGGCACCGCACCTCTGATTATACCCTGCGTGGGCTCGCAGGTTCGAATCGCGTGGGGAATAATCATGTGTAAGAAGATTGCTGAACTCCACGCTGCCGTACTGTGGTTCACGTAACCCCTGGTCGGTAGTGGCTTCCTCCACCATCAGGTTCATGCATCTAAAACTAATAAATGTGGTTAAATGTGGTGCCGTGGTTTGTCATATGACTAAGCCGTCTTATCAGTTTCCTCTATTCTTTCCCGGGGATAAACATGTAAAATTCTAACATAATTCATTTTTTAAAATGTGTTTAATATTTACCTATTAACTGCATGCTTTGGTGGCGGGTTCTCCTTACAAACGACAGCAGTTGCATTGTAATCACCTATCGATTCCAGTATTCCAGGGAGAACAGCTGCCATCATACCCAGAATGGTACTGGCGGAAAAAGTAGGCAGCCCGAATTGAAACGGATACGGAATTCGAAACCTGTTATAATACATCGTTATTTTTTTCAAGTAAATTGTCATAATATCGAATGCATAATTGATAGCAATATAATAACAAGACAATTTCCTCAAAAGTCATATCCCGAGCAAAACTGAAACTGTGTAACAGCTGCGTAACTTACCAGTAGCGGTACCCGAAATGTTCTGGCCCAGCGTTCCCCAAACTTTTTCGGCTACGGAACATTTACACTCATTATCTCGCTGCGCGGAACATCAAAAAATGAATAGAGTAAATTGATAAAAAAAAATGGTGTAATGTGTAATCTAATGGGTTTGTCGTGGCGAGTTGACAAATGCGCCGCAAAAACTAACAGAATTGTGTTGAACTTACCTAATATATGATTGAATATTCCACATATTGCATTTATTATAAATGTTTTGTTGTTTCTAAATTTAAATGCTGTGTATATGTCAATAAATTCATTTTACCTTTCTTTGTCGTTTACTTTCCATTACTTAGTGTTTGCCTGTAATGTTACGTCTAATGGAGATAGAAGTACTTACTGCAATTTCGCGAACTGCAGACCTGCAGTTTATTTATCTGCTGAATCGAGTTTAGCGAACATGAGTAATTTTTTCAGCATTTCGAAGTAAAACCAGGCAGAGTTGGACGAAAAATAGTTGACCTTTTACCTTTATTATTTAAACCTACTTGTTTGCCCATAGCAAAACCAAATGGATTGCTGTAAACTTAATAATGAACTTAACAGTCAAAAAGCTAGGTCGACGGTTAAGGAAATTGCCCCTACCCTACCTTAGTTATTCCGCTTTAGGCCGACGGTGACGCGATGTTGGGCGACAACTTCACGATCCCTAGATTTCCATGGCGATCACTTTAGACGTATTTTTGATTCTTTTTCCACGAAACACTCAGAGGACGCTCGCAGAACACAGTTTGGGAAACGCTGTTCTAGCCTATTCATCTCCCGTGACGGTGATGATATATGCATCTAGTGCAGGGGTCACCAACGCGTTGCCCGCGGGCACCAAGTCGCCCGCGAAGACCATATGAGTCGCCCGCAGGTCTGTTCTAAACTAAGCTTAATAACGGCTTTTATAAGTAAGCTAGATTAGTTAAATTTTGTCCTGCTATTTTAGTATAAATCACACTTATATGGGAACTAGAAATGCACTATATTAACTATTGTAATCATCAACCTTATTGGACACGTTATTGGACACGTTAGTGGACATAACGATCGTTTTGGTATTTTTGTTGTTCTTGTTCTTATTTGTCTTCTTCTTGGTATCGTTATGAAAAAATCGCTTTTCTCGTTGATTACTGGACCAATGGCTTTGAAATTTTCAGTGAGTAAAGATTATATTTTTCCCCAGAAGGCTATTACTTTTATTTATTCTTAAATTTTATATGAATCCTATGAGATATGATATTTCATACAAAATTTCGCGGTATTTATTTTTACTCATGGGAACACTGTTTTACACTTATTTCAAGCGGTTTCGCGATCGATTGTCTTGCTCAGTACTACAGCTACTGTAGGTCGGTACTGGTAAGTTGCCATACCGGTACCGTAACGCAGTGAAATTGACTTATTCCTTCCGCGGTATTACTAATGCTGCAATGCAAGTTTTATAGCCTATCGTATGCGGAACGGAATATCAGACCTACAGGTTCGGTACCGGTACTGGTAGCTCAGTACGTAAGTACGATACTGGTACTGGTGCAGGTACCGGTGTCTTACCACAATGAAATTACCGTAACTTATTCTTTCACGGTCCTACCAGTGCAGTAATGCAAGCGTTGTAGCACTTGTAGCCTACTATATTTGTTTATTTTGATGAGAGTCTACTGGAAACAACATAAAATTTGAAAGGGAAGAATTGTTCTGTGATCAATTATCTGTC